CATCAGCCAGATTGGATGTGACACGTGGCATTCAGAAAGGGTGCTCTGAATCATTTCTCCATCTCTTTCTGTTTGCTGCCTAACTTTTATATATATATAAAAAAAAATCAGTCAAATTGTCTGCAGGGCATCTTCACACTGCAGAATATAGCAGATATTAATAGTTATTTGTCAATATTAAAAGAAGTAAGAATAGGGGTATGAAATAGAAGTATTTACATGTAAGTAACAAAATACAATAAAATAGAAATAAAAATGTGCATTATGTTACACCATTAACACTGGTACTTACAGTAAGATATTAGGAATAAAATAAGTGTGTGTAAAAACATACAAATATGTGCACTGTGCGAGATTACACTGTATAAACTAGTGTTACATTCAGAAATATAAAATATGTATTATGCTATAATGGTTATTAAATATATACATCAATAGAATAAAGACAAGAATAAGAATAAACATAAAAAGTATGTGCAGTTATGTGCATTGTATAATGAATAAATATATACATTCAAGAGGTGTTAAGAATATTACAGTTGAATAATTGCACCAATTATTGAGAGTTTGCAGATAGGTCAATTAATTAAGTCCAAGCGCCAGTCGTATTGATTCAGAGTGGCTGTCACTCTGAGGGAGGAGTTGTACAGGTTGATGGCCATAGGCAGGAATGACTCGCTTATGACAGACATTGCTGAGATAACATGGGAATGAATAGACTTTTGGTCAGCTTTAGATGTCCAACTGTCTGTCCTAAATCAGAACCTATCAGTACCTCCATGAAACAATCATGGGTTAGTTGCTAATCTGTATACACAAGGACACTGAGATTTCATTCCAACAAATAAGAAAACACAGGATTTACAAAAGCTGCAAGGCTTAAAATTGAGCGTAAAACCGCTGTAAGTTCTGCCTAAATGCCAGCTGGAATGTAAAGAATGCAGGCTCACTCACCAACCCGTTCTCATTACTCTTTCTTTGTTTTGTTTTTCAGTAATTTGCTATGGCCAGTTATGCTGAGTATAGGTCCTTGAAACTTTTAATTCAGGTTGAGGCACAGAAAACTGTCAGGGTGAATTTTGAGGAAAGGCGTCTAAAATGACTCACAAGACATGTAGAATATGTCAAACTGATGGAATGATGCAGTCCTGAAAACCTTGAGTCTTTGAGGATAGAAATCATATACGGTAACTTCAATGAAGCGTTTTAACAATATGACAACATTTGTTAATGGATATGTTTCTTGGGGGGTAGGGCAGCAGTAGCTCAGCCTATAGGGACTTAGCTTGGGAACCGGAGGGTCGCTGGCTTCTGTCCCCATATGGACAAAGCATGGAATGTGGACTGGCAGCTGGGGAGGTGCCAGTCGCCTAATGGGTACCGCTGAGGTACCCTTGAGCAAGGCACTGAACCCCAAACTGCTTGGGGGCACCTGTCCCATTTAATGCATGTGTAGTGTGTATATTGCATGTGTTTTCCAGCCAATAGACAGGAAGAAATAGTTTGATCAATAGCATTGAAAAAACGATTCATCAGAAAAAGGGGAAGACATTGGAACAGAAATAGGAATTTGGACAAGATGTTAATTTTAACTGTGTTAATTCTTCCAATCAGGGATAGAGGTAAACTTCCCCATCTTTGAAGGTCAGATTTAATTTTAGACATTGTGTGTGTGTGTGTGTGTGTGTGTGTGTGTGTGTGTGTGCGCGCGCGCGTGTGTGTGTCTGTGTCTGTGTCTGTGTCTGTGTTTGTGTATGAATGGGTGAATGGTGCCTGTGTTGCAAAGCCCTTCAAATGTTCTCTAAGACTAGAAAAGCAGCTGTGAGTGCAGTCCATTCACCAAAATGTGCTTCAAAGCCTGATGTTCTTGATCTTCTTACTCTGTGCCATAGAGCTCCACTGTTGTCCAAAAACTATTAAAACCATCAAATAGCCAAACTGGGTGACATGTTCCCTCATTAACCTTGAGCACTTACACTCACTGTAGTTTATTTCAACTCAGTCCCACATACACTATGCCGATGCCCCAAATATTCACTAGACCACCAAATGTGTATTAATCCACTGCTGAAAATAGTCCCCAGTAAATACAATAAATCTTCCTGTTTGAGTAACATTTGCTAAAACCTACAGTAGTCCACTGTAGGTCAACTGGGAATTTCTGAGCTTTAAAAAAAATGAAACTGTATATTTGTGAGCCGTTTTTAAAGATTTATGTCCTCAGGAGGAACCAGTGGGCTTGAAACTGAGATGGACTGATGGTGACTGAGAGGCAGACTAACATTGTTGGCTTTGGTCTTTTCATGGTATTTGTTGAGAATAAAAAAGTAAAGGAGCTAAAGTACCTCTGGTTCTTGTTCACAAGTGAGGGCAAACAGAGAGTGAGATTGACAGGCAGATTGGTGCAGCATCGGCAGTAATGCGGGTGTTGTACCTGACCATTGCAGTAAAGACAGAGCTTATCCAGAAGGCAAAGCTTTGGATTTACCAGTTGATCTATACAAGAAGCTGAAATTAATTTCCTCTTTAGGGTGGCTAGGCCCACCCAGGAAGGAGCGCTGAGTAGAACCACTGCTATTTTTTCATCAAAAAGAGCCAGTTAAGGTGGTTTGGGCATCTGATTTGGGCATTTGGTCAGGAAGTGTCCTGAGCATCTCCTTTTGGAGCTTTTTCTAGGCACAACCAGCTGGAAGGAGCTCCTGGTGTGAACCCAGCTGAAGACATTATACGCTGATCAGCCAAAACATTAAAACTACTGACAGGGGAAGTGAAAGACAATGATCATCTTGCGACAATGCACTGCTTTGCTGGGAAACCTTTGTGTCTTGGCTTCATGTGGATGCCACCTGACACCCACCACCGACCCAAACATTGGTGCAGACCAAGTACACCCCCTCATGGCAGCGGCCCTCCCTAATGACAGCCAGTACGTTAACATGACATTAGAGAAAATCGATTGATTGTCCTACTCTGACTAAACCGGACTTTTAAAATACATGTAAACATGTTTGTGCGACTGAAATTGTACTAAATCAGATTTCTCAAAGTCAAACTAGCACACCCAGATAATGCGCTTGGGAGTCGAACTACTACTGTATGTAGACAGAGACTAGGCGCTCTGTGCATGCTCCATTTTTGGACGGACGAGAGACACAGTTCATGCTGTGTCAGCTGAAAGAGTTACACATTTTAAAATAGGTTGTTGGGAGAAAACACGACTTTTACAAAAAAGTGGCGGAACAGCTGGACGATGCTTGGTTGTTTGGTCTGTGAATATGAATAGGTCAACTGGAAAAAGGTCCAATACTGACAAGCTGAAAGGGGGCATATCATCACCTATCGTAGCGCATCGGACATACTTCAATTCTCCTCCTGTCCTTGTATACTGGGAAAAGGACAGTAGTCCAATTAAATGGCCTTAACTGTGCATATAAATGTACTGAGTAGCACCCCACAGCAAAACAATACACCATGTCTTACCGTAAAAATACTGCTCAGGAATGGCCTGAGGAACGTGACAAAGAGCTCAAGGTGTCGGCCTGGCCTCCAAATCCCCAAGACTCCAATCTGATCAAGCATTAGTGGGACATGCCAGTACCCCAGAGATACCCCCATCCACAGTGGGGCCTCCCTGGATCGGACCTGGCTCTGACATGTCAAGGCATGGACACAGGATCTCTGGGGGTGGCCTGTGTTGTCTGGCACCAGGGTGTTGGTGGTGAATCCTTTGAGACCTGTTGGTTGTGAGGTGGGGTACCAGCATGTCCCACAGGTGCTCTTTTAGATGGGGAACTGGGGAATTTAGAAGCCAGGTCAACACCTTGAGCTCTTTGTCACATTCCTTGGGCCATTCCTGAGCAGTTTTTATGGTGTGACATGGTGCATTGTCCTGCTGGGGGGCCACTGCCATCAAGGAGTACCATTGCCATGAGGGGACATACTTGGCCTGCAGCGGGGTTTGGCTGGGTGCTGCATGTCAAGTAGCATCCACCTGAATGCTCGGACCCAAAGTTTCCCAGCAGAGCATTGCATTGTAACGACATGATCAACGTTATTCTCTTCACCTGTCAGTGGTTTTAATGTTTTAGCTGATCGGTGTACATCTCATGTGGCTTTTAAAAACATCAGGGTCCCCCAGAAGGAGCTGGAGGAGAGGGTTATCTTGACTACATTAATTATTGGATAAAGAACAGAATAATGCCACTGTAATCTTTTTAGAGGAAATAAACAAGGAGAAGGTGTGGTTATGGGGTAATAAAACCAGGACAAACTACAAGACATAATGCATGCAGTAGCTTTATTTCCTAAGCCTACTCATAAGGCTAAGGAAAGGTAAGGAATACAAAACAGTTAAAAAAACAAAACTATAGTCTTCTAATAAACATCCCACTGGACAACAAAGCAGGAGATGTTCTCAGTCTCTCGGGACACTATTGTGTTTGTTACTTTGGTTTCTGTGCTATTGAAAGGCAGCACAGGCAGGCTTATTACTGCGTGAAAAAAGAGAAAGTGAACTTTAAACTCTCCTTGTCACCTGACTGCACATAAAACTACAGCACGGGGCCCTGGCTCAACAGGACATGAAACATTACACACTATAACTATAATGTACAGTTCCACACAAGGAAATGACATACACTACCTGCAAAATGCATGTTGCATCTTTGCAATAAGTTCTCTTCTTTAACCTGAACAATTTGCCTGAATAGAAAGAGCGAGAGCATAGACAGGTTTTGTGGAGGGATCTGAGATACTCTGAAAGTAGACAGAAGTGAACAGACTGTAGTTTGTCAGTGGGTGGCTTTTCAGGTTCCACAACAGGGAGACTTGTCGAGCCGTGATACAGGCAGGCTGGTAAGGCCAGGTTCAGTTCAGGAATGTCAGCACGTAACAGGGTGGTGTAGAGAGAGGGACGGAGGGAGGGAGTCTATCAGAGGAGGGACAAAGAGCAGGAGAGAGAGAGTCATAAATGCAATAATTACAGCTTAGGCAGAAATAAGTGACGCACTCTCTTGGTTCCGCAGGCTGCCTGCGTCGCTAACAACACTATTGTCCCACTGACAAGAAGGAAACACGGCCTGTGAACCACTTCTCCGCTCTCAGAGTTGTTCTTGGGATTTATTTTCAGCAGGACTTTTCATTTCTAGTCATGGATTTGCTCCTGGATTCTGGCTAATTATGACTTTTCCCCCATTTTTTCAAAGTCAAGCAGAATCTTCGTAACTCACTTTTTTTTTAATCAAGAAAAGGGAATCATTTACTATGTCTGTGACTGCTCTGTTCAGGAGCAAGTGGGGGCAGAAGTCACAGGACACTGCACAGAAGCATCCAACACCTGTGGTTCAACCCAGCCATGATGATGATGATGACGAGGATGACCCAAAAGTTGGTTTCAGCAGAGAGCCTATCCAAAGGAACTCACGCTTTTATCGGTCAATGAGGAAGAAGAGGCTGGTCTCAGCTCAGCAGTCTGAAAGTAAGAAAACATCAGTCTTTACACTGTATTTGCACTGTACCCCAAATCTGGGGAATATGGGTTTGTGTCTCACAAGTTATTTAACACTTTAGGTGACTTCCTGGTCCTAAAGAAGTTGGTTTTTAGCCTAACTCAGAGCCAAATTCATGTTTGTACTTATTTGAATGAATGCACAGTCAACATTGACCGACTTTGTTTGAAAGAATCACACTGCAGCAACATAGTTAGGAATTCAGCTCTGTCTCTGCTCAGTAATGGAGTCTTACTGCATATTGTTGCTCTGCTTTGTTGTCCTATTGGCAGTGCATGCAGTTGTTATTAAAAGTGGAACAAAGGCTTGGTACTCCAGTCCCTCAGTAGAAATCTACATGAATGCAACCTGAGAAACGAGTTCTGTTTTAACAGCACAATAGTCTGAGTAATACCTGTTGGTACTTTCCAAAGGTCAGCCTCTGACCTCATGATTTAAAAACATAAAACAGCTTGAAGTTTGTATGTTTAAATGAAACACCCAAACATATGTGATATTTTGTTGTATTGGTGGGAGTTTTATTCACCAGCCTGCTTTGTACTTACAGATCAATCACAGAAGCTGAATAACAGTAATAATTAACCTCAACAAATGTTTTGCTCGTAGTGTTTTTATCCAGTATATTATTTATTATTAGTTATGTACTGTATAGGAATGCAACATATTCACAGGGCCACACCAAATGCAACAATAAAGTCTTTGAGCTTAGACTTTGCCCGGCATCTCAGATAGGCCTCAAAGGAAGGGATTAAAGTGATTACTTAATATATAACTAGCATCACTCTCACAAATAGGAAAAGTAAAACAAAGTCATAAAATAGTGAAGCCTGTTTAAAAATGTCACAAAATCCAGTCACTTGATCGTCCAGTGACTCAAATTAAAAACAAAACTAAAACAGGTGTTTTCAGAGGCAGTTTCCAGTTCAAATGAAATCATAAATTATGATATTGATTAAGATTACCCGATCTTGTCACCAGTTATCAGTTTTCCTGTATATTGATCATTTGCATTGATAACTTTGTCCTTTGAATTTTATCAGGATACGATCACATGGTTAGATAACATAACTGATAAATGCACTACAGATTACGGCACAGTGCGGCCATCACAAATGAATATGTAACTGAACTTACTGTGATACATGCAACTAACATTTCGCACTGTGCTCATACTTAGCGAAGCTAGCCACTGGCTGCATTTACAAAACCTACAATTTCAAAAATAGTGCTGGTGGTAAAATGTTGAGACGTTGAGACAATGTTGTTAGAGCAATGTTGTCTTAAAAATTTGTAAAGATGAAGAGATACTGGTGAAGCTTCAAACACATCCAGGTAAAGAGGCTTGTTTTCTTTCTTACCAGGAGCAATAGTAATTGAGAAGATTGATGTTAGTTTCACCCCCTGGAAGTCTGTTGCCTACAGACATGTTTGGAACAACTTAGCACAATCGCTGGGGGCAGGAAAAACAGCTAGTCCAGCTTCTTACAAGCTCAAAGCTTTCCTTTTACATAATGTTTGTATTTATTTTGTGTAGAAGGAGGAAGAACCACTGGTACAAACAGATGTATTGTACATTGCTATGAACAAGTGGATTTGTAGCATTCACAGGTTATCTCTTTGGTTTGAGCAAATGTTATGGGAGTCTGGGGACATTCGTCTTTCGTTTTGTAATAGAAATGGGTGGGGATATCCAGACCACGTGACGGCGTTGCCATAGGTACGGCACGTGTGTTACATGTAACAGAGATGTTGCAGCTCTGCAATACAGCTGAATCAAATGAAATCATATCCATTTTTATCTCTTCTTGCGATGCACTGAACACTTCCATTTCTGTTGTACTACGGACAACAATTCGGGGAACAGCAATTCCAGTGTAGGTGGGCGTAAGGCAAAGCTAATCAGCCGTTGGTCGAGGAAGTACAGAAGTACATGGATTTGGATCCAATCACATCACTGCCGCTGGGAGCCAGCGCTAGTTCTATTACAACTTTCCTATGGGAATGTCCACAGGCGACAGAGTCAGCCAGCGTGCTGACATCATCGGAGTCTGTGTAAGAGACTACGAAGGTGGAAGACACACTGATCTTGAAAAATGATCATGTCTTAAACACACAATATGGAATTTCTGCCACTAGAGGCCTCTTAATTAGACAATAAACAATAAAAGAAGGACTCTAATGATGCTGTGAAGTAGTTTGGGATCATAGGAGATGTTGTCTTTAGTCATGTTTATTCACGTTATGTCATTTCATTCTAATGAAATAGCCGCAACTAGCATAATGTTAAATCGCTAACTTAGGCTACCATTAGCATTAGCAAAAGTTGACTACCCATACAGCTACTGTAGCTAACATTATGTGGCAAATTCCAGTCATAGGGTAGCTCAGTACTGTTATCTGTGGTCAAAACAATAAAAGTAGAAACCTACTTAGAACCGCAGATTTAGATTCTATTTGTGGTGGTATCTGATTGGTAGGGGGGCATAGTAGGGAGACACAGACCAGAGTTAGCATCTTGTAGCAACCAGGCCCCCAGGAAGTGCACCGGGCTCTGAGGCTAACAGTGAAATTACAACTTCTGAGCCTGTCAAGTGATGCCATCTGGCCCAAAAACCTTTTCCCCATAGACTTACATTGTGAAAGAGATGTCTGTAAATTAGTGGATAATTATTATTATATATATATATTTTTTTTTTTTGGAGGGTCACAACCACCGTGAAATGATGAGTTTGACTATCAGGATTTGATCTCTTCAGTCCAATAACATTTGGGAAGTTTAGAAGAGCCATGCGATTAATCATTTTATCCCCATTCAAGTTAGCGGACTGCAAAATAGGAAGTAGCCAGCTCAGCCGGTGGAAGTCTCTAGGGCCCAATGATGTGGAAGCAGCGCTGTTCATCTTTTGATAGGAATGAATGAGGTCCCACCTGATGGGTGGACCAATTCTTTTATAAACAGGTAAAGATAGCACACACATCCTAAAAGACGTAATGCTGGGTGCTGGACCAAAAAGTAAGAATGAAGTAAAAGATAAAGTCTGCACACCAGAAGCTGCTCCTTCAAGAATTTATTTGATGTAACGTTTTGGGCTCCTGCCCTTCATCAGACATGCCCTTCATCAGACATGATGAAGGGCAGGAGCCCAAAACGTTACATCAAATAAATTCTTGAAGGAGCAGCTTCTGGTGTGTGGACTTTATCTTTTATTTCATGGACCGATTCTTTTCACATTATCGGTTTCATTGAGTTGATACATGTAAATGTATCTAACTTTTCAAACCTTTTGTTTTGATAATTTTTGCAAAATATGGTGTCAGTTTCTCTGTGATACTTCATTACGGTACATGTACATTCAACAGCTAGTGCTGCCCACCCCACAAAACTCATCTTCAATGCATTACCAGCCATTAGGTACAGGTTTACATTAGTAAAGATAAAATACTGACTTTAATGCACTGATTCAGAATCCCAGCTGTATGTAATTAGGCTATGTAAGCTCACAATGATATTGCAGAAATGTTACTGATCAATGATCTGCACTTTTTTGAGGGGCACATAGCAGACATCCCAGTTACCTCCACAGCCTTGTGCTACAGTTTTGTGGTATTGGAATAATATGAAAAATCAGTGATTTGTGTAAATGAATTATATTTCAAGGCATACCTATCTGTTTCCTTTTCATTATCAACATGTTGTTAAACACACTGAGCAATAAAATACAACACAACTTTGTGGTGTTCATGTTGTTTCCACATTATAACTTAAATTTCACAAACATCAAAGTCAGAAAAACAACCACCTGAGGAGAATGTGAGTGCACCACTGATCTTGGCTGGCAGTCCGATTTAATAAGTCCTCGATCCTTTTCTCACAGTAGCAGGCAATGTTAGTAGTATCCTACGATAACAAACCACTTCAACTCCCTGCCAGATCAGCAAAATTTCTGTTGCTGCCATTACACATTACAAATTAGACCCAGTGCTGCTGGCTGCCAGCCCAATTTAACCCCTGGTGCTAGGGTTTGTGCAAGCTCAAATCAAGATGCTACAGCCGAGCTGAAGGCAGAGGGATCTCAGCATGCACTAACTACCTTTCTCATCTCCTTTAGCTTGTCTCATTTGTGTTCTGATAAACAGAGGGAGAGAGTAGGGCAAGGAGGGGCTAAGCAAATCCATGGGCTGTGTGCAGATTTACAAAAAAATAAGACTGTCATTGTTTTAAATTGTTTAAAAAAAAAAGAAAATCAATATGTTGCAGTCTCTATGCATTAACTTAACATACAGTACAGGTCAAAAGTTTGGACACACCTTCTCATTCAATGCATTTTCTTTATTTTCGTGACTATTTACATTGTAGATTCTCACTGAAGGCATCAAAACTATGAATGAACACATGTGGAGTTATGTACTTAACAAAAAAAGGTGAAATAACTGAAAACATGTTTTATATTCTAGTTTCTTCAAAATAGCCACCCTTTGCTCTGATTACTGCTTTGCACACTCTTGGCATTCTCTCCATGAGCTTCAAGAGGTAGTCACCTGAAATGGTTTCCACTTCACAGGTGTGCCTTATCAGGGTTAATTAGTGGAATTTCTTGCTTTATCAATGGGGTTGGGACCATCAGTTGTGTTGTGCAGAAGTCAGGTTAATACACAGCCGACAGCCCTATTGGACAACTGTTAAAATTCATATTATGGCAAGAACCAATCAGCTAACTAAAGAAAAACGAGTGGCCATCATTACTTTAAGAAATGAAGGTCAGTCAGTCCGGAAAATTGCAAAAACTTTAAATGTGTCCCCAAGTGGAGTCGCAAAAACCATCAAGCGCTACAACGAAACTGGCACACATGAGGACCGACCCAGGAAAGGAAGACCAAGAGTCACCTCTGCTTCTGAGGATAAGTTCATCCGAGTCACCAGCCTCAGAAATCGCAAGTTAACAGCAGCTCAGATCAGAGACCAGATGAATGCCACACAGAGTTCTAGCAGCAGACCCATCTCTAGAACAACTGTTAAGAGGAGACTGCGCCAATCAGGCCTTCATGGTCAAATAGCTGCTAGGAAACCACTGCTAAGGAGAGGCAACAAGCAGAAGAGATTTGTTTGGGCCAAGAAACACAAGGAATGGACATTAGACCAGTGGAAATCTGTGCTTTGGTCTGATGAGTCCAAATTTGAGATCTTTGGTTCCAACCGCCGTGTCTTTGTGAGACGCAGAAAAGGTGAACGGATGGATTCCACATGCCTGGTTCCCACTGTGAAGCATGGAGGAGGAGGTGTGATGGTGTGGGGGTGTTTTGCTGGTGACACTGTTGGGGATTTATTCAAAATTGAAGGCACACTGAACCAGCATGGCTACCACAGCATCCTGCAGCGACATGCCATCCCATCCGGTTTGCGTTTAGTTGGACGATCATTTATTTTTCAACAGGACAATGACCCCAAACACACCTCCAGGCTGTGTAAGGGCTATTTGACCAAGAAGGAGAGTGATGGAGTGCTGCGGCAGATGACCTGGCCTCCACAGTCACCGGACCTGAACCCAATCGAGATGGTTTGGGGTGAGCTGGACCGCAGAGTGAAGGCAAAGGGGCCAACAAGTGCTAAACACCTCTGGGAACTCCTTCAAGACTGTTGGAAAACCATTTCAGGTGACTACCTCTTGAAGCTCATGGAGAGAATGCCAAGAGTGTGCAAAGCAGTAATCAGAGCAAAGGGTGGCTATTTTGAAGAAACTAGAATATAAAACATGTTTTCAGTTATTTCACCTTTTTTTGTTAAGTACATAACTCCACATGTGTTCATTCATAGTTTTGATGCCTTCAGTGAGAATCTACAATGTAAATAGTCATGAAAATAAAGAAAACGCATTGAATGAGAAGGTGTGTCCAAACTTTTGGCCTGTACTGTACATGTTAACTTGATGCCTGGCATGGACCACTTGTCATAGTAGTATTAGCACATTGTAGTAAACTGGATTGACATTGAAATATCATATCAATGAATTAGGTCCCTACTAACCTACTGTGCTACAAAATGACATGCAGTTAATAAAAACCATGAGGTTTGTAGCAGAAAAAAATGCTGTTTTAAGACATTTTAATATGGAAAAATCACATTTTATTTTTATTATGATTGAATTTGGTATGTCAAGCTGTACAGAAATCAGAATAAAAAAATACAAACAAAACAAATGTGATGCAAATTAACATTATGTTACCGTATCATCATTATCATGGCTTGCCAATTTGCTAAAAGGGTCAACAACATTTTTTACTGGCTTTTCCTTTCTTTTTGCCCTGGAAAGGGGAAGCTTCCCTGGTGTCAAAAATACTTTATAAATCAAATCAAGCTGTCACTGACTACTTATACACACATTCTTCCCAAGCAGTCATAGTCAGATTTTAGATTAAGATCTTCCACCCAAATAAACTTCATGGCCATGGCCAATTAGTTTAGTTTAGTTAGTATATTTACTTTATTAATCCCCCTGAGGGGAAATTCAATGTTTTCACTCTTGCTTGTCAATTACACACAGGTCCGAAAGACACACACATGCACAAACAGGACCTATACATGCACAAAGTGGAGAGATGTCAGAGTGAGGGGGCTGCCTTTGGTGAGGCGCCCCGAGCAGTTGAGGGGTTCGGTGCCCTGCTCAAGGGCACCTCGGCAGTGCCCAGGAGGTGAACTGGCACCTCTCCAGCCACCAGTCCACGCTCCATATTTTGGTCTGGACGGGGACTCGAACAGGCGACCCTCTGGTTCCCAACCCAAGTCCCTATGGACTGAGCTACTGCCGCCCCACCAAGACTAAGCATATTAGTGTAAATGTAAGAGAGAACTCAAATTAATCAACCACCAATGGTAATGAAAAAAGGGATAAATTGCATATATGGTCTAAATTAATCTCATGTCGGATTTAAAGAAACCTAAACAAAAAAATGTAGAGGCTAATTAGTTCATTTTTAATGGCTCACCTTCTTTATACAGGTTCCCAGATGCCTGAAGGCATTTCATACTCCACAACTGTATAATACCATCATTCATTACAGAGGGCAAAGTTCTATTTGTCTAGAAGTGAGACTGAATATATGCCTACTACACCCTTCTGATAGCAAGTCTCAGCAGTCTTACAGGTATGTCTAATCACTGGAGTATCAGTTATGGTGCATAAAGAATCATATGAAGAAATAAAAGGAATGGTGCCCAAGCTCACATCAGCACAATGATACTCTTCTGTATCCTTCCATACAGGTGAATGTATCACTTTGTCTACATCCTAACTGCTCTTGTTTGGGCTGCCCAGTAGAAATTCAAAAAATTGGCAAATGACGGACTCCATGTTTTGGTGGTCCCTGGAGGATCTTAAGTTGACTGCTTGAAGATTTGCCTCTTCACAAGAATTGATTAACAAGTCTATTACAGGGATAAAATCTTAAAAAAAATATTGGGTAAAACATTTAATTCAAAGCTGGTGACATGATAAAGATTTAAAAGGTAGACTTTTTCACCTCTTCAAGTCTTCTACTTTCTTCAGGCTGACATTTTTTTCACAATATTATCTGCTGTGCTAGATATGTTATGTAGTTTTTTTTCATTGAATGTACACATGCGCCAGTCTGAACATATCTGCAAACACCCAGTGTGACTTCCAGCATAATATGGAGCTGTACTTTTTATTTCTCTGCATATTTAAGCACTGGGGAAATGGTTTCAAAAGTCATTAAAATTAAAGCAGAGTCAGAGTAGAGTTAACAGTGACAAGGAATGAAAAGAGACGATGACTTACTAAACTAGTTTCACTTTAATAACCACAGAAATAGCCTGTAAAGTTATGTAATAATTACTCAGCTTTACTTACCAAGTTGTATTGCTTCCTTGTGGCTCCGTATAGCAAATATTTCATGGCCTGATGGGGTTTGGAACAATTAAGGTTTATTATAGATTAAATTATGGGCAGTTTATAATGTAGAATGTCAAACAGTCATTCTTAATCATGGGGGTAGTAGTTTGGCAAAATAATCTACACTAAAGGTCTACTTAGAAGCTTTTTCTGGAGGGTTCAAACACATTGCACACTCTTCAGCAGAAGACCATGACAGCTGAGCAAACTCCCATCCTGTCAGATTTAGACTGAGGGATTGTTGAAAGCACCATATCAAGCTTGTAAGAGCAGACATTTGTAGATATGTACAATGATTGAAAATATCGTATTTAGAATATACAACTTTTGATCGAAATCTTCATCCATGTGCATAGTTCAAGCGCCAGTATGTGTCAGAGATGTGTAAGAGATGAGTGTCTCAGAACACATAATTTCATACAATATAGTGCACCAACACAAGGATTAGGAGAGGGCACTGCGCAATGTGAGAGTTATGTTCTCCCAAAACACATCAGCACCAATCATGTCAGCAAATACACACACACATATATGTATGTGCTTTCTTTCACTGCTGATTATTTTTCTTATATGTCATCATTATAATATCATAGGGCTTGCTTAGTTGGTACAGCAGTATATCCTCAGAGCTTAATTGCATTTTACTGTGTTAACTCAGTCTGAATGTGAAGATACTGTATTTATGTCACAAGTTGGAATGTACAAATCAAAGTTAAACACTCAGTGGGAGTAACACACACCCACATACAGTACAGTGGGATTGCCACAGTAGCTCGCAGCACCAACAGGAGATTCTGTTACTGCTTGAGTGAAAAATAGCACTGTTGCATCATCAGCTGATGATACATTTTGACTATGGTCAGACTGAAGGCATGAGTTTTCCCTCTTGTAGATGGATGGCCATTTTAGTAGGAATGATTGGTGTCAGGATGACAGGAAAACAGCAGCATTTTAACACTACATGGGAAACACAGGTTTTTTTCCTCTTTTTTTGCCCTTTTAGATTAATGAAAGAAAGTAAGAAAATGTCCAAAATTCACATTATGGTGTTTATTTTAGTTCAGATTTCTGTTCTATAAAAGTGCATGTTTAATTAGGTAATGCCTCATTTGCATATTTAAACGTACAATTTCAGTAAACTTGTAATACAAAAAATGTTGTCATAATGTAGGTAATCATCTGGGGTAGATTCATGGTGATATTTAGTTAATTTTTCACCCTATTCACCTGCAGTGTTTCCCCTACAGCTCTCTTTAATGGGCCAGAGTCTAAATAAAGTGAAAAGGGCGTGTTTGTGTGTGTGAGTGTGAACCTGAAAGTGTCTGCAACAAGTTCTGCAACTGTTGTATCTGATTATAAAGTCAGTTCTGATTGCTGTACTCTCTCTCCCTCTCTGTCACCCCAGATTCTAACAGACCTGGTTCAGACCACAGTCCATCCAACAGAGCAGGAGTCTCTTCCTCTAATACACCCTCACCCCACAAATCACCTTCATTGCATGGGGCGAGACGGTGAGTCCTCATGCCTTCTCTGCCCAACCCTACCACTTAACACAAACACGCCCAGAAAACAAACAAGCACACACAGTGCTTGTTTAAACACTGCGCACACACCACTTTTATACTTTAAACTTGGTACTCTCAAAGTCATATCATGTCTTTGATAAGCACACAAGCCTATCCGGTCTGTCTGAAGGTGAATTCATTGACACTGAAGCAGCAGTCTGTTTCAGAGGACTGTGATTACAGGAGGCAGTGTGCTGAAGGTTCAGGACCCAGTGCTGTGCTAGGACTGTTGCCTTTTTTTAAATTTCAAGACAAGCTCATAGCTATAAGTGACTGAGTATACTGCAAAAGGCATTTATCTTCAAAGTCATTTTTCATAAAACCAGAAAACTTAAGCCAAACACGAGATAGTAGCTTGGTGCCTCTTGTTAAATAAACATGATTTTAGGACTCACTAGTAAACATCATCATCTTAATGCTGAGATATGGAATGTATGACATATCCTCATAGAAGGGTTTGTAGGATCCTACGAAAATGCCAGTCTGTTCTCATTTCAAAGATGTCCAATACCACTGTTTTATCAGTAATTTCGGCTTCAGATACCGACACCTAGGTTTAGGCAACTAAATCACGTGGTCAGGTTTAGAAACAAACATCATGGTTTGGCTCTACATTGGAAGCAAACACCAGAAACCGGGTGAGAGTCCAGGACTAGTCCACCTTTTGCGGTGTTATGAAATGCCGCTGGTCAGCTGGACAGCACCTGTTGCAGCAGTATTATACAAAGCTGGATAGAGTCAGATTGAAACACTGTCAGCGCGCACTGGTCACGTGATCGCAGCTTTCTAAAATACGTGGGTAATGCACAAATTACTGGCTCATGATTATGTGGGATATGTACAAATTTGGGTGCATAACTTTTCATAGGAAAACATACAGTTTATGGGAACAGCCAATAATGTAACACATGCTTTATAAGAACTACAGTTACACTGGCAAACAAAGAGCAACTAGCTGCTATAACTGAGCTGCTCACTGGCCCCATATTCTCAGCTTCTAGTTTATTAGGTCCACCTAGCTAAAATTACTGAACTACTGAAGCAGTCCTGCAACAAATTTGCTTACCTTAAAGGAGCTATATGTAAGAAATATAAAGCAAATAGTCGTAAAATCCTCCTAATATGTCACAGAGACTAAGGAATAATGTTCTTATAACATACTGATCTCACCGACAACAATAGTACAGCCAGAATATTTTCATTTAAAAAACATTTTTACAGTCTGCAAATCATGTTTATGTTTTGAATTTGTGTTTTGGCCTGTTGTTCCACCCACCTCTGTCTACCAGTCATTCAGTTAGTAGAGTCTCAGCATCAGTTACAGTTACGACTGAGCTACAGCAGCACGGCAAGCAGCATTAGCGGTGTCCCGGTACATAGCATTAGCAGCCGGCTTCTCCTCAGCTGTATCCCAGCAGCAGCGTTAGCAGTGTCCCAGTACATAGTATTAGCAGCCGGCTTCTCCTCAGCTGTATCCCGGCAGCAGCGTTGTCAGCAGAGAAGCCGGACTTGCTCGAACGGTCCGCTGGAAAACTGCAGATCAAGGACGTGGCGACGCGGCCCTGCCACGGCAGCCGCCCGTGGGCAAACAAATCAGTCTCCAGCGTGCCGCTGTCCAGCAGCCTCGAATCTGTAGGGGAGGGGGGGGCGGACACGACTCGCAGCAGTATTTTGAATTTGAGTGCAGTAACCGTTTTGGCCACATTCTTACATACAGCGCCTTTAAAGTTCATGTTCCGTATTGAAACTGTTTTGAGAGGTGTTGATTCAACTGCATGTCATATACAGCTGTTTCTATTATTTTGTCCGCTGTATTTATATTAAAGAGGGTAGGTTACTAACAAAACCACCTCTTTGTATAATTCAATGCAGTTCAACAGCACCACAAACTACATCCTTCATAATGATCATCATAATGCCATTGAATCAACGCCTCTCTAAACAGTTTCAACACATACTGAATGTTAGTACCTTTACAAAGGAGGATTTGTTTCAGGACTGTTCTATTAGACTGTATTAGTTTTAGTAAGGTGGACTTTACAAACTAGAAACTGAGTAAATAGTTGTACTGAGCCAAAACTGGAAGACAGGCTTGTCCACACTAATGCAGAGCCACACTGAGCTTGTCAGCCCACCTGTGAATTTGAACATTTTTCTACATTTCCAGGGGGAAAACATTGTCAAATAGAGGACTTGTGTGGGAGATCTTTTTTAATGCTTACTTATGCTTGTCAGCCTTCACAGATATTGATCATATCTAGTCAATATATACTGAACTTCCACGTAGCTGCAACAGGATAACGCCAACTTTCTCACTCCTCCAACTCACTATTTCATCTTTCTTCTTCTTTTTGGTTGAAGACACAGGTTGTAACAGCAGTCACATTCTGAGAATTTGGTACTAAATCTCCCACATTGTCAGAATGTAACATTTAACAGCCCTTAATCAAATTTTAGCCCTTAGTCAAGTTTTATCCTTTTATCCAACAAGAAAAAGCGTTGAAGGTGACAGAACATAGGTTTAGCCAACCTGGTGTCACTCCGAAGTCGTCGAAAACCGGTGATTGGTCAGTGACTTCCAGCATTGGACACCAACTAAAAAAGATGTCCTTTTGTGTTGATATGTGCCTGGATGTCGTTATTGTTTAAGGGCTCCCAGCAGTGTCAGGGGGAAACGTGGTGGGAAAACAACAAAACTTAAGGGAGGCTTGGCGGGAGGGGTGGTGGATGGGACTAACAACCACCGACTTTCATCCAGGAGGCCGGTGTTTGCTTCCTGTAAGATTGTGAAGCCAAATCCTGTTCTTTTTTCCTAATCCAAACTACGTGCATTTGTTGTTGAAGGAAAAAAAAACATTAATTTGTGATGTCGTACTGATGTAGTGCATTTATTTTGAAAGAGACTGTATGCAACCTGTACATTTCCTGAGAAAACATTAGTGTGTTTTGAAAACAGACAATGCATGTAACAGGCTGAAGTTGACACAGTGTCCCAGAACATCAACAACCAACGCACCCAGGGTACCTTGCACATCATATGTCGATGTGGAAAGTCCATGACCAAATAAGGTCGGAGTGAGAATGTGTTGGTTTTGCCTGCAGAGTGCTGTATCTCACTTTATAGGCCCTAACCTATTTAGTGTATACACAGGTTCAATTCACACTGAAGTGGGCATGGTAGAAGATGGTCTTAGCCTCATAGCAATGAAAATAGGGTTATATATAGTGAATACTTCCATGATTGTTTCATTTTACAACTTATCAAGTCAAACATTTCCCAGTTTATCTTTAGGAGGTATCCATTAAACAGCTGTCAGTGTAAGTGTGAGTGGTAAACTAGGAGAACTGTGGGTGGGTTTACAGCACAGGTTGTGATGGTGACCAAATGTGAATCACTGTGCAAGATTAATGGAAATTACAGTGCAAATATTGAGTGCCCCTCGGTGTTTACCTATTTTGTTGCATCACAACCTGAAATTTAAATGGATTTTTTAATTGGATCTACACAAAATAGTCAAAATTGGTGAAGAGAAATAAAAACAAAACATTGATTTTAAAAATGTCCATAATAACTTGAAAAGGGTGCGTGCATATGAGTGCATATGTATTCACCTCCTTTGCTGTGAAGCCACTAAATAAAACCTGGTACCACCAATTACTTGCAAAAGTCACGTAATTTGTTAAATAAAGTCTATCTGTGTGCAATCTAACTATCACATGATCTCAGAATATACACACCTGCTGTGAAAGGACCCAGAGTTTACGACACTACAAAGCAACAGGTACCACCAAGCAAGTGGCAAGAGGTCAGAGATAAAGTTCTAGAGAAGTGCACATCAGGGTTGGGCTCTAAAAAATGTGGGGAAAAAAATATCAACACAAAAAACCTGTCAAGAGAGGGTTGCCCACCAAAAGTCAAGAAGCAGTCCACCAAAGCTGGAAAGCTCCAAAGTGAAGACTGGAGTGTCTGTCCATAGGACCGCTTTAAGTTTTACACTCCACAGAGCTGGGCCTTATTGAAGAAAAAAAGTTATTGGTCAAAGAAAGAAGTAAGAAGGGGGGGGGGAGTTCACCAAAAGGCATGTAGGAGACTCCCTAAACATATGGAAGGGTTAGGCTCTTACCCTAGCAACTCTTCCAAGCTCAGCTCTGTGGAGTGGACAGTTCAAAGTGATCCTAAGGACAGATCCTCAAGTCTCTGCTGTGGAGTGTTCCAGCTCCTGCAGGATTATTTTTGGCCTTTTTGTTGTGTCTCTGATTAAGGCCCTTCTTGCCTTCTCGCGAATTCACGCATAATCGCGCGATATAACAAGATGTAGTTTCTATAAACAGAACCACAAAACCATAGGAGTAGCTAGTAGGAAGACATCTAGGTGCACCTCCATGATTAACATCTCCTTGTCCATGGTGTCAACGGGGTGAAATGACGTCCGAAAACCTCTGACCTGTTGACTTCAGGCCTGCCTCTGCCCATTAGCCTATGTAGTTTTCAAGGTAGTGAACAATTTGGAATTTGGGGGTATATGGGAAGCAAACACCGGCCTCCAGGAGGAAAGTTGGTGGTTGCTGGACGGCCCCCTTCCGCGTGGCCTACTTGGACTCAACCGCGTTAACGTGTTTCCCGCTTATGCCGCCAGGCGCCATTACATAACAGCCACTGGCATATCATGCCGAGATGAAAGCACAGCGTTTTTCGTCTGTGTCAGATGATGAAAGTCATGAGCGAGCGCCGGTTCTCCATGACTGAGACCAGGTTGCTTAGATTGCACACAGGAGGACTTTATTCATCTAATCTTGTGACATCTGAAGGTAATTAACAGTCCAAGGTCTTATAAAGAGGGCTTCATAGCAAAGGGGGTGAATACATATGCACACAGTACTTTTCAAGTGTTTTTAAATTATTTTTCAGAATTTTTTGAAAGAAGTTGTTTTTGTTTTTTTGTTGGGTTTTTTTTTCAGTTCACTTCACTAATTTTGACTATTTTATGTAGGTCTTGTCACCAAAAAAATCAAATAAAAATCCATTTAAATTACAGTTTGTAATGGAACAAAATCGGGAAAAACTCCATGGGGGTGAATACTTTTGAGATCTTGGTAAGACAAGACACCACAGTGTAATACATTGGGTTACTTGATTACATACAGACAGTTAAAAAAGGGGGTGGAATGAATGTTAACTGAAGCTGATTTGAGCATGGTTCGGTACTTGTTATGATGTGTATACCAGAACATGCATGGCTTCAGGACCTCAATGTGGAACTTAAGTCACACCACCTGTGTCTATTCAAGGATGGTCTAATTGGATGTGAATGTCCTCCTCAATCTTTTTTGGCCATCCAGTGACTCCCAGACGATAACCCTGGCCCATTCCCAGTTGATGCCGTGAGCAGTTTAAAGGTTTACTATAGATAGCAGGATTTTGAGGACAGCAGATACATTTGTTGTGTCAACGAAATTAGGGGCTAAAAAAGGTTGTATATCTTGATCATCCTTGTTGAAGCCCTCAGGACATATAGAGTATTTCAACTAGAAATGCAGAGTTTGAGGATCTATTTAAGACACAGAATGTCTAATAAAAGCTGTTGCTGAAAAAAAGCATACAATGCACTCAACTTTGAAGAACTTGAAATACAACAGTGAAAATCACATGTCAAATGTACATAATGTACATGTCAAATGGACAGATGTACGTGGCCTGATTACATGGCAATCTGAAGAATTTGAGTTCCTCAGTGACGGTGGCTGCTATGGATGTGATTCTAAAATGTGTTTTTTTGCTGTCAAATGCAGCCCCCAGCTTTCACCAGAGCTCCATCATTCCAAAACTGTGTTGCCAAGCAATGGTGAGGCCAGCAGCAGACATGCTCTGTATAACAGGGACGCTGTGGATAGGAGAAGAGGAGGAGTGGGAGGAGGGAGGAGTGTGGACATATCTGCTGCCTCCAACAGCCAGCGTCAAGATTTTACAGCTGACATGATCACTTACCGGACTCACGGCATTCATAGCGGAGACATTAAAAAGCTGTCTGAGCAAACAGCTGAAGCTTGCACTGTACAGGAGGTCAAAAGGAAAATCATGAGCTCACAACGGCCCAGTTCTGACGGAGCAGACCAGGATAACGCCAACCTCAGGTCAGATCTAATTATACTACAAACAAAGAGGTGTAAGAAATAGAAATGAAAACAGATTATTTTTGTAAGGCTCAAACTGTGTGTTTTTGCTAATAGTAAATGGTAGATATGTAACACAAAACAGGGAAGTAAAAGTGATTGATTGGTATTTTTGCTTGTGAGCAATAAAATTACAAATACACTGTGATTTTTGAGAGAATAGGTAATGAGGAGATTGGAATGACTGAGTAGTGACTCACTGTGTGGCTACAGCGTGAATATGAGGAGGCGCAGATGGATGTTTTTATATTTCCATCAAATAATGTGAAGTGTAATGCCGCTGTTTGGATTCACTCTGTTAGGTTTGATGGAGAAAACAGTGCAGAGAATTCATTATTGGATGTTTCTGTGTTGGAATGCACAAACATCACTGCTGCATCAATGTTTGATAGTGAAATGAAACATAAAGGGAATATAATCAGCCACCTGTCTGTCTGTGCAAACAAAAATTTCCTATTTTTTCTCTTTAGGTTGCTCAGCAATGGAGATGGCTCCCAGACAATCTGCCATAGCCTCAACATTGTCAAAAACATCGGTAAGGAAAGACATGGGGCGAGGGTAGCGTACATATTCCACCCACTTTTACCACCTCCAGAGCTGTTGCTACAAAAATCATCTCTTATTTGGGAATATATTATATGACTAGGACTGAACACTGGTAAGACACACACTTTCACATTATGCAACACACATGCACACATAGATTTCTAATAAGCAATGTATTAAGACAACAATAGGCTTGATAAGGCTTTAGCACTTCCACTGAGCTTTGTCTGTTACTGCATATCTCTGACTTGTTCAAGGCTGAGTGCCTCTTTAAGCTGATAGTTGCCTCTGTTGACAGACTTCTCACCGTAGTATTGTTCGGTGTATATACAGGATAATGGTTATTTGCAGGGATTAGTCCAAATTTACTCAAGACAGCAGCTCACCTGTGGGACCATGGTAAACAATTCAAAGGCTATAAACCAAAGAGCAGAAACAGTGCATATATCTATGCTTCTTTTTTTCCAACCTGTGCATTTCTCTGGCTATGTATGCGCATTTCACTCTCTCTCTTATGTAAGTCTCCGTCCAGTTCTACGCCCACCAAAGCAATCTGCAGTATATGACTGAGGAAGATTATGCAACAGGCCCCTGTTATTCAAAGTCACCTACCTTCTTGATATACACATAGCCAATGTTCCCTTTAAAGAGCTGCTGTTGTTATCAGCAATCTCTTAACTTTTCGTTAAATAAACTTAAGCAAACCTACCATTTCCTAATCACATGTTGCCACACACATGCTATGGTGAAGAAATATCAAATTGCAGATACGTTTAATATAAGCATTCTTCTTCCTCAAATGCAGTGCTGGCAACATTATTGGCCTTATGCCTTGGGTGCACCAGAGGATATTTTAATCTGAACAGATTTTAAAAACCTGGAGACCACAAAAATAACAACAGATTTAACTGATTTTTTTTATATTTTAATCCTTACAAACTCACATACCAGATGAACTAGTCAAAGATGCAGGACCACCAACTTGCTGTTTACATCTAATTGATTTCAGAGTTAGGATTTCACAGTAATTGCGTGATCAAACATGATTTCAGAAAAAAAAACATGGAGCAAGAGGCAACCTCTGGGGCTAAAAAATGAAGCCAACACAGAAGTGCCAAAAACAGTTCCTCTAATGGCCACTTGAAGCTGGCTCCAGAAGCCAGTCACTCCCCACAGACCTCCATGTTAAAATGCCCAACTTTACCTACGCGGTCTTACTCCAAAGTTCTCGAATACTGCCGTTTGGTCAGACACTGTTGGAAGTTTGAGTAGGGGGGGTGAGAGAGGCGGTGGATGGGTCCAACAACCAGCGACTTTCATCCGGGAGGTCGGTGTTTGCTTCCCGAAAGATTGCAAAGCCAAATCTTGTTCTTTTTTTCCTAAACCAAACCATGTGCGTGTGGTTACTAAATGTAACCATGCGAATTTGTTGTTGAAGGAAAAAAAAGTAAATTCCAGGTCTTGTACTGACGTAGTGCATTTATTTTGAGACTGTATGCAAACTGTACATTTCCTGTTAAAACGGAAGTGTATTTTGAACAGACAATACAAGCAACAGGCTGAATTTGACATGGCGTCCCAGAACATCAACAACCAACACACCCAAGGTACCTGGAACGTCATATCTTGACATGGAAAGTCCATGACCAAACGTCGATATGTGACGAGGTCAGAGTGAGAATGTGTTAACTTTACAGTATAAACACATTTACAGCCTGATACAAAAAACAGTTTTGGTCTCTATAGCTAATTTCAACATTCATGACAACTGTACAGAGGGTGAAGTTTTTTATAACTCACGCTGTAATATTTTATTAAGGCATAATTAAGGGCAGGTTACTTTGAGTGACAGGCTGTCTACTGATAGTGTCTTCAGCTTCTCAGTCAGATCCATCCCTCGCTAATCCACAGCTCCACCCTTTTGCCTAAATATGGTAACTTGTAGCTTAAAAAAACTGAGATGGCGATGGCCAAAATGCCATCAAAATGAATCCACATACCAATGGGGGACATCACATTGTTTTCACAGTCTATAACATGGAGGCGAACTGTCGTCGTCAACTGGTAATACTTGTGTGTACTGGGTTTTGCTGTGAAAAACAACAAAAACTTAGATTAAGTCAAGACTGAAAGATGGAATCAGCATGGCTTACAGATTTTGCAGCATGAGCTGGAGCTAAGTTTGAAATGAAGTTTTATTGTTAGTGTGAAACATGTTGGTGATGCTCCCTGATCAGCTTGCTCTCATTGGCTATTGTGGGTTTCTGCTCAATATTCCATCGCTGCTCCTTTCACACTACAGGATCGTTGAAATCAGGGAGACTGATCCAGTCAGATAAAATAATCAGATCAGCCTCAAATTGAGAACATCCCCACGATTGCTGCAAGGGGCTAATCAATCCCAAAATCTGCTTCAGTATCCTTTAGTGTTGGGCCAAGCACTATGTGACTTGACGTTGCTTGTGCCTTTCCAATTTTATTTGTTAGCCTCAGATTGCTATTGTGAGCTATTGTAAAGACAAGTAAAAAGTCGATTGGTTCAATCAGTCCACTACATTGTCTTCAAAGCCAGGTACACATGTCTCTATTTAGGAGGAAATTAAATTACCTGACACCACTGTATCCATTTCAGATATTGCATTAAAAAAAGGGTGTCTTTGGGTGCAAAGATATCTATTATGGTAACTGGCTCAACTAATGTATTCTGTATTGCAGCATTATACCAGCTTGATGTTTCTGTGGTGAAAAATTGCAAGAACACAGATTCTTTAACTTATAAATGTGATGATATGGGTCATTGTTTAAAAGTTATTAACATTACTTGCTGTCGTCACAGACAGTCACTGAGATGCTGATAAATATGAATTAAATGCAACTTCTCATCCAACTATGCAATATGTTATATTTATTTTTTTAATATTATACTATTAATTAATAATCTGCTTGTTTAGCTTGCAATAATAAGTCTATGCTGTGGAAATTTGGACTTCACAGTGTAATAGTCAAGTCAAGTCAAACTTTATTTATAAAGCACATTTAAAAACAACCTCAGTTGACCAAAGTGCTGTACAGTTATTGAAATATAATATAATCATACACAAATATCATAATAAATAAAACAATAAAGGAAATATTAAGAGCTCAATTTAAAAACTAAAATTAGAATAAAAAAGGAAATAAGAGAGTAAAAAGAGTAAAAGCCAAGGATTCTCGTCTAGCTGGGACTGAACGTCAAGGAGAAAAGATGGGTTTTCAGTAATGTTTCAAAGTGCTCAACAGACCATGCAGCTCTAACCTGGAAAGGTAGGTTGTTCCACAGCTTTGGGGCCGCCACTGAGAAGGCTCTGTCCCCACGAGTAGAGAGTCTGGACCGAGGTACTGCCAGGAGCAGCTGGTTTGACGACCTAAGTGCTCTAGAAGTACTGTGAGGCTGTACAAGTTCTGATAAATAAGACGGTGCCAGACCATTTAAACACTTAAAAACAATTAATAAAACCTTGAACTGGATCCTAAAATTAACAGGCAGCCAGTGCAAAGATGCAAGGACAGTACTAATGTGATCACGCCATTTCTTTCCAGTCAGCAGGCGGGCGGCTGCATTTTGGACTACCTGTAAACAGCGCAGTGCTGACTGGTCAAGACCAACAAACAAAGAGTTACAGTAGTCTAGGCGTGATGTAACAAAGGTGTGAATAACTTTCTCAAAATAATTTCGGGGGAGATAAGCCTTTACTTTTGCTAATAGTCTTAACTGGAAGAAGCTTGTTTTGACAATAGAGCTTATCTGCTTATCAAACCTAAAGTCATTGTCCAAATTAACACCAAGGTTCCTTGTAAAAGGGTGGCAGTGAGACTTAAGGGTGTCAATGGCGCTGTCATACCCATCTAACAGATTTTGTTGGCCGAATAAAATAATCTCAGTTTTATTTTTGTTCATGGATAGTGTAACTTCAATGTGCACCTGTAAAACACAAATACCAACACATTCTGATGAACAGAAGATGACCAACAGAACTGATCTTATTACCACTACCATGTATATTTCAGTGGATATTTGTCAGACTGGTGTATAAGAAAGTCTTTAATTTCCCCCCAGCACTGTCAGTCTATCACACTGCATATTATAAAACTGCTCAGGTATTTGGCAAATTTGGAAGTAAAAAGTGAAAATTATGAAGTAGGACCACTTTTTGCTGAAAGACAGAAGGTTAACACAGCCTGTCCGAGCCTGTCTAAAACTGTTCCTTATATTGTCTCGAAAATGTCCCATAGACATAGAGGTAATGGGGCAAGTGGGGCACAGCCCTGTGTGCTGGCAGCAGGTGTTATTGGTACTGAGTAACTAATAAATTTATATGATTCTGGATTAATGCATCACATAAAAATCCTTGGTTGTTGCTGTTATTTATCATCATTTTACAACTTAAAGTCAGTTGCTGGACTTTAGGGGTTTTAATTGCACTTGTCTCAAGAGGCAGCTATATGTAGAGATAGCCCCATGCTCCCGATGACAACTGCCCCGAGTGTGGGAAAAAATTAATACACATGCCCAAAGCCTTTGGATATGAAAGCAGAATGGTACAAATGTGATGCCAAGTGTGGCTGATTTCCTGCTGCTCCTTTGCAATTTAATTGGCTGTTTGCCAAGTACTGTTGTATTAATTTGCTCATATTTTGGAGAAGATTGTAACTATGGACGATGTGGTTTATCTTCTGCAGCACAAATTTGAAAGTCTGCATTTTGTATAAAAACTTGAGATGAAACATCTCTGTGCCCACCAGCTGCAGGATATTGTTATACACTTGCTGTTGTATAAAACTGCTAGCTTGCCAGAGAAGAAAATTTTCTTTTTTGCTGCCCATGTGTGATAGTTATATAGTGTGATGGTAACTGGTCAAGAAAAGCCTTTCGGGATCTTAACTATTTGTCTGAGAGGATTACCAAGCATAAAAGTAGCAGGACAAACAAAGTAATATTGCCTAAAATGAGAGTGCACCCTCCCTCACCTTGTTTTTCCCACCTAATAGTGTCACAGTTTTAGCACAGTGGTATTACAGGTATTTGCAAAAAGCCACAACAAATTTTACATGTGTACCTGACTTATTGTCTTTTGACCCTCCAGCCTTCCTGTACCAGGAATACCGGGACACCTCCAAGCAGCACGAGATTGAGCAACGGCGGCAGCAAGAGAACCTCTCTCCTACTGTCACAGCAGGGACTGTGGTGGCAGAGTCCGGTGGCATGTCCCCTCCAGCGTTACAGCTGCAGCTTAGGAACAGTGCTCGGTCACTGAGCTTGTGGCAGAACCTGGAAGCTGTGCAGGCCAGTGGCCTACTCACCCAGTTACCGCATAAAGAAATCATAATGCAAGAGGTGAGCAATTTTGTGAAGGTGATATGGATAGGTGCAAACATTAGTTGTAAAATATTGCATTCCTGATGTTTGTCACCACAGTTATTCCACAATTTATCCTGAGGAGATCATGAATATCTGTACCAAAATACTCAGCAATCCATCTTATCGTTGTCAAGACATTTCCCTTAAAACCACAAATGTCAACGTGATGGTAAAAATCTGAAAAAGTCAGTGGGATACATCATCTGGGGACAATGAATGTCTGCAGAATTTATTTAGTAGATATAGGGATATTTTACAGGATGAGTGAAATTTAAGCAGCCAGTGGTGCTTGATGGAGATCAAGGAATCACTAAAGTCATAAAGATTAATCCTCTGAGGATCATGCATGTTTGTAGCAAATTTGATGGCAATCCATCAAATAATTGTTGAGAAAGCCCAAAAATACCAGCCAATTTGGCTGTTATAAGGCAATGAAATTTCTGGTATCAGTTATAATAAGCATCATAGATATGGATTAGTAGGAGCCTACTACACCTACTTTAAGGTTACAAAGGCCATTATCAGACCATGAAATGAAACTTTGAAATTAATTATACTGACAGAAATGGCTTTCTGTCAGGAAGGACGTTACTGGGATTTTCTCCCATTTTGTGAAAAACTCCACATATAGGGCTGGTGGATGGGTGAAAAAGAAGACTTTTACCCAAGACACTAGGGTTTGAGTCCCATGTGAAACCAGTATTGATGCCCAACCATGATCTTTTTCTAAACCTGACCATGTCTTTTTGGCACCTAAATCTGATGAAGGTGAAAGTGAAACCTAATGAACTGGTAACAGCCACTGAAGGGCTGATAACAGCCTTCTGAACGTACCAGTAAGTGTAGCACACCCCTGACTCCTATGAGGCTTATAACTACAGACAAGGGCCATTTAATGAGCTGATAACATCCTGATCAGAGGAAAATGTTGTGACCTCATGTTGGCTATTAAGGAAAAATCAAGTGATCACCAAAGAAGGCCAATTTCATCACCTGGGGACCATGAACGTCTGCTAAGATATTTCAGTCTGGATCAACTTGGTGGACAGACCAGCTGAAAGACCAACATTGCCATACTTAGCGCCACATTGCTAGTATGGCTAGCATGGCTAAAATTTGAGACTGACAGCTGATTGCTTCATGAATATTCATGCAAACAGATTGTGAAGCCACATGGATTCCATCGACACAAAAACAATTTAATTACTGTGTTACACATCCATCATTTGAATCTGGTAATTTGGTCTTTTTTTTTTTTTTAGTGAAAATCAGTGAAACCAGCCATAGCCAGTTATGCCAGCAGGATCAGCATCATACTTCACTGGAATTTTTATCATATTAATTAGTAGTATTAGTATTAATGTGGCCTTGTGATTTGTTTTTCTTTCTAGGCCATGTTTGAGCTTGTTACCTCAGAAGCATCGTACTACAAGAGTTTGGAAATTTTAGAGACTCACTTCCTACGTAACCCTGTTTTAATCAACACTCTCAGCCAATCTGACATGCATTTTCTGTTCTCCAACATCGAGGAGGTCATGAAAGCCAGTGAAAGGTAGGACAAGGTCTTGATTAACACAGATCTGATCATACATCATCATGCTTCCAGTCCAGCAAACAAGCTTTTGCTTCACATCTCTGCATAATGGTCTCCTACAAATTTCAGGTTCCTGATGGATCTCGAGCACCGCATTGAAAAGTCTATTTTGATTTCTGATGTGTGTGACATTGTTTACTTCCATGCCGTGGAACACTTCAGTGTCTTCATCAAATACGTCATTAACCAGGTGTACCAGGAGAAGAACTACAGACGCATTTTGTGAGTACCTATTTTATAACTACATCAGTTACGATGTGGACCATGCCTTCTTCATACACTAGCACTTATTTGTTCAGTGGAATATGAGGCAGGAATCTTTTTCTTGTTGAAACAAATGGTGATGATTTATCAAAATGTATTATGATTTTTTTTATATCAGACAGTATTTTTGTCTTTTGAAAGCAGTAAATAATACAAGAGCTCAAAGAGAACAAAACTGTAGCCTGTTTGACAACTGATGACGAATACACGCCAGGAGAGAGAGGAGCTGTGAGAAAGAATAATAGGCGTCATCCCTCATACAGTGCTTTTTTTTTATGTCTATGAATGTTGTCAGCTCGTCTTTTCAGCAGAGAACAGGTTTGTTTTTGATTATGACAAATGTGATGTGCAGGGTGTGGTTGGCTATGCATATAATGCGTGTGTCTCTCTTCATCAACCACGCATACCTGAGTGAGAGTGTGGCGTTCCCACGAGCTGCAGAAGGCAGGTGCCTTGGAGGGCATGTACCTCTGCCAGCAACTGGAAAAACTTCCAGAGACCTGCTGCTTGTTTTCAAATTGAATATGGAAATTGTAAAACCCGTGACTGGTTTTTGAGCTAACATTTTAGAGATGCAAGAAAGAAAGCAGGTCCATTAGATGTTATGTTCATCTGTTTTGTAGTGAACACAATCATAAGGGTGTTAAGAGTGCCGAGCCTAATTACTTGTCGCATACGTTCACATCAGTGGCTGATATGCAATGTAGAAATGTTAGTTATATCAGTTGAGGAACAAGATGACATTATGTGCAAAAACGCAGTGACTAATTATTGTGATTCTTGGGAGGAGGAGAGGAGCTGTTTTCCTTCTCTCTCTTTTGTGAAGCATGCTCCTTCTTCATACAGGCTGGGAGATTCTTGAGAGGTTTTAGCTGCCATTCAGAACAGATTATTTCCAGACTGTGTCTCATAAAACAAAAGAGATTTACTCACTTACTTCACATTCATTAAAAGAGGTACAGGAGCAAACCTCTTCACATAAGACCTCAGATTGCTTGATCTGCTATACAGGTTCAGCCACCCCCCTCCTCTGATGAATAGAGAACAGTCCCTATTAAATAGCAGGTTCCAGTAAGTGTCTTGATTTGTGTTGAGGGGCTTCACAGTTTAATCAAAGTATACCGTTAAAGGATAAGGCTAATGAGACATCATATCTTTCTTAACATCAAAAAAGTCTCATGAAAGACAAAAACTGAAAAAGATTTTCCAGTAACCAGTAAGGTTACTGGAAAATCAAAATCAGGGATTTGTTGCTCATCTTGCCATCGTCTCTCCTGTCATCAAGTTTTTTGTTTTACTTTTATCTTCCTTATGTCCTGGTTCAGACACTGGGTTGTAGTGTGTTCTCACAGGGAAATGCTGCTGCTCTTTACTGGGTGTCACATTTGATGAGTGATTGCCATGTCTAATCAGTATGAAGGGAATACCAACATACATCATTACAAGTGAAACGTGAAGACTTGACTTCCACAACATTCATGCCATGTGACAAGTCAACTAGATACAAAACAAACTGAGCTGCTAAACAATTTAGTGAGAAAGCACAGGTTAGTTTTTATTTTCTTAAATGTAAAATGGGAGCAGCGTATATTTGTTACCTACCCATACTTTATAGTTACAACTGTAGCCCCAGCACACTTTGTTCTTGTTGAACGTGGTGAAGCTGCTCTAAGTAGTTTGTGTCAAGTTAAAATCTCATCTGGCTCTAACAAACAGTTCATGGCTGGATTCCTCCATAACCTTTACACTGTGTGTCATGTTTGTGGGTTGCTATAGCTTCCTAGGCCTTGTTCTTTCTGCCATCTTCTTTGGAACACCCATGCTTCCCTGGGGCCAGACGTATAAACAAAAACTAACAAAAAATGTGCATAGGCCAATTCTCACACATGCATTTTAAAAGGAAGAATCGGTAGTGCACACCTAACACATACTTCAGATCAGGCATACACACAGTTTTCTAGAGCCCGCTGTAGGAGATATGTTGAGGAAGACATAAAATTAAAATGAGAGATGTAATCTTGTGGTAATACATTGTTTGTGTCCGTTGTTTGCCATTTTTTAAACTGTTTTGCAATCTACAGTGGTTCTGTAAAAATGTCAATCAGACACATTTATAAACATTGTATATATAATCAAGGGCATAAAACCAAAGTCTGAGCCCTATGCATAAGCAGTCTCCGTTGGCCCCCCAACCTTCATCTCTTGATCCATGTTTCTCTCACGCACCTTTTCAAATTTTTATTTATTTATTTATTTTTATAAAGTAAGTTTTCCTTCATTCTTTTGTCCATTGTTTTTGTTGGGGCGGCAGTAGCTCAGTCCATAGGGACTTGGCTTGGGAACCGGCACAGACCAAAAAAATATGGAGCGTGGACTGGTAGCTGCCAGTTCACCTCCTGGGCAATGCCGAGGTGCCCTTGAGCAAGGCACCGAACTCCCCAACTGCTTGGGGCGCCTGTCCATGGGCAGCCCCCTCACTCTGACGTCTCAACATTTAAAGGTGCTGTTTGTGTGTATTTCGGGCCTGTGTGTATATGTATGTGACAACAGAGTGAAAACATTGAATTTCCCCCTTGGGGATTAATAAAAGATATATAAAAAAATAAATAAATAAATTGAATTAAAAATTTCTTTTCTGGGGCGTCAGTAGCGTGGTGGATAGTGCCGGCGCCCCATGTACAGAGGCAATGCCTCGCTGCATCGGTCGCAGGTTCGACTCCGGCTTGCGACCATTTCTGCATGTTAACCCCCCTGGTCTCTCTCTCATCCCATTTCACTCTGTTCTATCCACTAAAGGCAAAAAAGCCCGAAAAAATAATCTTGAAAACAAAAGAACAACATGACAGTGTACGTTAGTGCTCCAGCAGCATGAGCAGTCACTTACTTGGCTCTAGTTGTGTTTAGAGACAAATCATAGTAGGTCTACAGGGGTGGACTAAATCATTTTGCACCTTAAAGAATTGAGAGGGGTCTCAGATAACTTTCACAATTTTTTACACAAAATTCAGTCTTTCAAATGATTTTTTCAGCCAATTTAAATTTAGCTATGGCACTAATTACTACAAAATAAACAAATTGCACAGAAAACCAGACTTTTTATTCCAGACTTTTTGACAAAAACTAAAATATATTTTTGAGCTCTTTTTAAAGATTCACATCTTCAACAGACTTGAAGCTACTAGCCACAGACTGGGTAGGGAGGTTTGAAAGTACTGAGCGATGGCCTAACACATTGTTGGTTTAAGAATTTTCATAGGATTTGTTGACACTAAGAAAATTATACTCGAGCCTACTTAGAGTAAGATTCTTTAATACAATGAAGTCAATGAGCCCTCAACACAGCCAATGTGATCATTATCCATGGATGATCAGCAGAAACCTAATGATCTAGGTTAGTGTAACAGTGTCTTTTTCTCATTCTTTCTCTTTCCTTTGCCAGCGCATCAAAAAGAGAGAGGGAAAGTGTGTGTTTGTAATGAAGCTGTATCATCAACTAAGCATTGTGTTGTCTCAACATTACTGTCCAGAGAGGGAAACCAGGCATTTCGTGAAGCCATGGCTGCACTGGAGAACCATCCACGCGTCAGGGGCCTGTCCTTTACCTCATTCCTAATCCTTCCTTTCCAGAGGATCACAAGGCTCAAGTTGCTTGTACAGGTGAGTGTGCCAACATGACTTAAAACTAAACAGATACAAATGGGACTGTGCAGTAAAATTGCAAGTGAGATTTTAACAGTAATAAATAGGGGCTTGGTACTGAAGAGGATTTCTGCTTGAGGCTCCTGTTGTTTTTATTTGACTTTGTTTCTCATACAGAATATCCTGAAGAAAGCTGAAGAAAACTCAGAGAGGGAGGCAAATGCTATAAAAGCACATCAGCAACTGGAGCAGGTGAGCATCAGTCAAGGGGCGGGGCCCACGTTGGGTTGAGGAAGGCAGTAAGGAGGAAGTCAACACAATTATAGTCATATCATTATGACTGTCATTGTGCTGACACATTTATTTACGTACAGTCAAATACATGAAAGGACACATTCCTGGCTGGATACATGAACAGCGTAATTTACACTGATTGTTAAAGATGAAAGACGAAGTGAATGGCGACCATGATGACTTTCCAAACTTGGAAAACCATCTGTTACAAACGGCTGTGCAGTGTTTGGGTGACTTACACCCTCCCTGGTTTGTTTCTCATCTCATCATTCTTTCCTGTATAACTGATTTTAAATAGGTTTGAGAACGTGGTTAACCAGACCAGTTTAAAAAAAACAACAAACAAACAAATAAAAAAACAGGGTTTTCCAGTCTCTTGGACAGTCAGGACAGGACAGTCAGAATACACTTCAACTAACAGAAAATAATAAGACCCTTTAAAACAATTTGCTTTGTTGTTTGTTTTTCATTGGTTGGGATAGGGCAGTGAGGTAATTGTAGGGTATGACCAGCTCACACTGGGTGAGGCTGGAAGGCTTTGCCAGTATCTCGGCAAACCAGCTGCTAAGAAATCACTCATACTGATGCCTCTGATTGGAGTTTGTTAGTCAGGTGTGACCGGTAACCCTGCAATGACTTTGCACTTTGTCTAGGTTACAGCAAATTTTATAGATATTGTGCTCAGTTGTGTTTTTATGTCTAAGCAGTTGCTCCACAAAGTTCACCATGTTCAATGTGTAGGCAGATTTCTGGAATGGTAGAAAAACAGGCAGAATTTTAAATAACACTCTCTTCCAGCAGCTCCCTCCTCTCTGTCCTGTGCCTCTCCCACCAGACACCACAACCTGGTCTCACTCCGAAGTTGCTGAAAACCGCCGCGTATCATGCCAACATGAAAACCATCCTTTCACGTTGGCATGATACGCGGCCTGTGAGCGTTATTGTTTACCTCCGCTTCGCAGCGTCAGGGGAAAAACGCAGCAGGACAAAAAAAGTTAAGACAGCGGAAGTCGGATTAGGGTGGGTGGGAGGGATGGTGGAGGGGTCCAACAACCGCCGACCTTCAACTGGGAGGCCGATGTTCACTTCCCATAATATTGGAAAGCCAAACCTTGTTCTTTTTTCCTAAACCCAACCATGTGCTTTTGTCGGCTAAACCCAAACATATGCGTGTGAAGGCAAATCATAACCACGTGTGTTTTTTGTTGAAGGAAAAAAACATCAATTTGTGGTGTTGTACCAACATACTACATTTATTTTGAAAGAGACTATGCAAACTGTACATTTCATATGAAAACGGAAGTGTATTTTGAAAACAGACAATGAATGTAACAGGCATATCTCCATATCTTGACGTGGAAAGTCCATGACCAAAGGTCAATATGTGATGAGGTTGGAGTGAGAAGGTGCTGACCACGGTCATATGCACACGCTTAATAAAGTACCCCTGTGTTTCCCATACATTGATTTATTTAATTCTATTTCATTCATGCAGCTCATTCACTCAGCTGCTCTCTGCCCCGCTCTTTCTGGGCTCTAGTTTCGTAGACTGGGCGCGGCGGGGGCCAACTGGGTGTGGCCAGGTGGATTTTGTAAGTTTGGCACACCGTGCGCCTGGCGCAGCTACTCCTCTTTCCCACCTCCGTCCCTCCTACCGGCGCAAGTCAGAAAGAGGGAGGAGAGAAGGCGTGGAGTGGGTTTTACACACATCACACCAATCAAATGAGCCCCTCTCCTCGCCCTTAAATGCGCCGCGCGAAGGCGTAATGAGAGTATACTCAATTCGCCATTGCAGTAGAGAGCAGCAGCGTCAGACGGCCAAACTTCTCCCAGGAGGAACCTGATGTTTTGGTCCAGGAGGTCTGCTCGCAGTGTCCGAATATACAGAACTGCGAGCAGACCTCCACGGGCTGATGATGCAAAGGTAGCCTGGGAGGAGGTCACCACAATTGTAAATCAATGTTGCGTTTCTCTCATGCACGCGCTCTCTCTTTCTTTCTCGCAGTCTCACTCTGTTTCTTTAGTTTCATTAGTTTGCAGGCTGTGTTAATCAAATCAGGTTGGGTTTCCATTACGCGTGCCAAACGTGCCAAACGGTGCCATTCCCCTTTGATCTGACATCAGATGTGACGGGACAGTCGATATAGAGATACATTTATGTGCTGATTGCAGATAGTTGCATTGAATAGTGGTTTTTGTGGCTATTTATTGCATCGTTAATGTGCCTGACATTCTGGAAACCTGCCTGTGAGGTTTTGGTGACGTGTGCGTACTGTCCGCCGGTCAGCCAAACTTCGGCTTACACCGGCTACGCTCCGCCTGCGCTGACAGTAGACCTGGTTTCAGATGGCGAGCTTTTAGCACACCTTTGGTGAAGCCTTTTGGCACGAAACTGTCACTGCGCCAAGCTGGATCTGTCGACACCTCCCCCTGCTGCGCCGCCACACCCATCTCAGCGCACCTCGGTCTGCCAAACTACCAAACTGAGCTTGCCTCGGGTTGCGCTGCTCAAAACTATTTCTGTGCGGGGTTCGCCACCCTGTGCCACCTGCGCTGCGCCAGGAAACTAGAGCCCTCTCTGTTTATCATACAACAAATCAAACAAAACTTTACTGTTAGCCACCTGACAGTCCCTCTGCCTCTCTCCTTGCCTCTTTGGACGGCTTCTCTAAAAGAAGAGCGGGCACCAGCTCAGGAGATGGAGCTTCGGTCAGTGACTGTAGCAGTTTGAATTCGGCCAGTGCAAACCCCTCAGTGCCAGGTATTGTGGTTTCCTTCTCCGGCGGGAAGTCCAGGATTTCCTGGCCCCCGACTCTTCTGCTCCTGCTGCCAGCTCTCCTCACATAAGATCTCTAGCAAACGTTAGCTTCATAAATGTGAACTAGAAGTTGCAGGCCAATGCTGGAATAGCATTGGCAACAACTGGTTTCCAGTTTGTTTTTTTCTCATCCCCATGAACAGCACTTCTGGGTGATGTTAGTATATGTTGGATGTGTTTCTATTCACATCCCTCACAACTGCAGAGCAACACCGGCACACAGTTCCTTTCTTACGCATAACTCTCTGTTATGGTGCTTTTCTGGTGCTGTTGTGGTTGACCAACACACTGGGAACCGGCAGGTGGGTCTTACAGCTCTGGTATATTAATTTGTGCTCCTCATAGTTACTTAATCGCACTCCTATCCATTTGTTGTTCTAACCTCAATATTTGTTTATTGTGTTTCATATCATAGTCCACAAATATTTATCCATATCTCATAATTATCAGACTTTGATCCTCTGCCTGACCCTCCCTGTGTCCAAGGCTATTCATTTATTTAAAAAGGTCTAGGCTATTTAATTGCTCTATATCATCAGGCTATTATTAATGTAAGCAGGGGATTTTAATACAAAGTGTTAACCACTGTATGTGAATTCATGAATGGGTCAGACCTGTGCAGCACTGGATTTGAAATGAACTGTAATAAACTGGAGCTTCTGTGCTTTGATTACCTGCTGTGAAACAACATGACCCTCATCCATTTAAAATGATCTATAGTTCCTCTGAGCCCATTTTGGTGAAAGTAATGCAAGAGTAGTGTAATAAGTGACTTATTACTCTACACAGAAAGTAATATTGTAAACTAACTTTTAATTACTTTCAAATGAATGTATCTAGTAATATGTAATATACTACATTTTAAGAGTAACCTGCCCAACACTGTCTGTGGCAGCATCAAATGTATCATAGAATCTCAAATAAGGATTTGTTTTGAAATAAGACTAACTTTTTGAGTATTACTGATATTTGCTGTATCAAACATATTTTATTAATACATGCATGGACAAGGGAGGCTCAAGCCTCCCGGCATAAATTACAGGTGCAGCCAGTGTTCTGTAGGAACTGAGTTCCAAAGTTTTTTGTTTTGTTTTGTTTTGTTTTCATTTTTTTAGGCTACCCGTTTTAGTATATTGGAAAAACACATGTATATTTTTTACATTCTATGACAATGAGAATCAAATATAACATACAAAGAAGAAAAAACAATATCATATGATGTTTTAAGGTTATTCATTGATGGTGTATGTTTGTGTCATTCTCAGATTGTGAAAGAGTGTAACGAGGGGGTGCGAAAAATGAGTCGCACTGAGGAGCTTATCAGCATTGAGAAAACACTGGAGTTTAAATCCAAGGTAAATTACATCTTATTGTTTTGCATTTACAACATGATGAAGTCACAAAGTATTGTTTTCATGATGGCACATTGCAGATTTTGTGATTAGGTTTTTTCTTTCCCCACACACATTTTATATAATATGAAGGCTTGTTGATGTGGCTGTAACAAAGCAAAAGGAGAGGGACACGGCAATCAGTTAGTAATAATCAGTCAATGCAATACAATACAAAAATGGTGTTCAGGATTAAAAGGATTTGTTCAGACTACAGCTGTGTGCCAGTTCAGAGGCCACCTTCTTCAAGTCTGGATTTCAAGACTGAATACATCATAAGTAAATAAGTTTGCCCCATTCCAAAGGTTTGAGAAATGAAGCTGAGAAATGTGGCTTTCTCTTGACCTGTTATGGACATGTGCTTTATCCCCTGCAGCTATCTACTGTATATCCCACAATCTAATGTGCACTATACTTATATAAGTATTGTACATCATTATATTTCACACATCACATTTCACTAGTATTTGAATTATTAGTCAATGGTAGATACACTCACATAAACAAGACCAATTAAATATGCCATGGCAAGGTGTGTAACTGCTAACAAGAGGGATGTGTAGAGTTCATGTTGTACTGCATAATTATAAACTCCTGATTATTCCTTGGAAATAATGTCCATCATTATCTAGGGTCTTAGAGCCAAAAGAACAGCTGCAATATTGTATTGCTCAAAGGATAACAAAGTTTTTTTGTTTTGTTTTTTTCTTGGGCTAAAGGCTAATTTACTTGATTATTTTGCCACATATAGTTTTCCACCCTAATTCTTCAACATGGAAGAAGTGTGAATGAGAGGTTCCATTCCATATATTTACTTGACTATGTTGTCGGCTGTCATCCTGCAAGTTGTATATGCCATGACACAGACTTCCAAATCAACAATATTTTGAAGTGGATGTGGTATCTGCTTTGGCATTTGAAATGTAAGCAAACTGTGTTGTCAGTACTAAAGCAAGTCTGACTCTGCACATATTAAATGATATCTGAAGCTATCACATATGGCGACAAGGATAAACCAAGAAAAAGTTTGTCATGGACATTGTGCATCACGCTAGCTTAGCAAATGAAATGAAGCTAGGCTGACACAAACAGTCTGTGAAATGTGGTACTGACTGGGCATAAGATTTTTCCCACAAATTAGACATTTTCTGTCCTAAGAACAGAGGCACACAATCCCAGGAATCCTGGGAAATTGATTTGTTTTTAAAGTATAATTTAAGCTACAATCAAAAGACATTGGTCATATTTTATGCAACACAGCAATGCAACAAAGATAAATATGCATAAATCTATTGGTTCACAGCCTGATGGCCTTAGTTTGTTATTTGGTGGCATTAATTATTATAAAGGCAAAAGAACACCATTTATGTCAGTCAACTAGTGACCAACTAGTGGACCTACAGGCCTAACACTGCATGCTTGGAGGAAGCTGGGCGCTCTCTTTCACAAAGAAAAAGAACCATTGCTGCACAGCAGATTGGTAAAACATTGTAATAGCAAGTCACCAAAGAAGTATACTGTGAAATTCTGCACCATGTCTGTGCCATGTCGGCATTGATGTCAAAGAAAACAAAAGATCTGTGTTACTGATTGTGTGAGTGCCCAGACTTATAAACTGATGAGGAACCTACTGAGTTCCAACAGACCTGAAGATAGAATATCATTTTATTTCTTTACCCAAAACCTAGTGGGAAAAAAAATGCAGCATCGGAAATGTATCTCCAGAAAGAGCAAGCCTGAAGAAAGTGTGATTGTATATGTGGCAGAGCTGAGAAAGCTTGCACAGGGTACTGACTAAGTAATATAATAAATGAGAACAGAATAGAGTGGAAACTATACTGTCAGACTGACGGAGTGACTGTTGGAAAAGCTCTGAAGGTTGCATAGGCCATATCGGAAGCAAGTAGAGAGCGGATTTACACAGCACGAAAGAAACTGTGAACAATATGACAGTCTTGACAAGTCTAGACAGAAACAAGGAAATGCTACAGAAGTGGCAGGGCAAGCCATGTGGCAAGAAGCGACAGGTTTGCCAGGGAGAAGTGTCATAACTGTGGAAGGGTGGGGCACATTAAAAGAACATGCAGGATAGAGGTTTCAACAAAAAAAGACTCAAGGGGCAAAACACACAGAAAGAGGGACAGAAAAATATGGCAAACATCCTCAGTGGTGGGCCTTTGTTACACATCATACCCCTCTCTCAACTCATCTGCTGTCTGCCTCCCTACTGTCATCTGTCTATCAATATCTGATGCAAAAAGGCAAAAAACAAATCTCTGAGTAAAAAAAGGTGTACTTAATAAGCGGTTGTACAAAAAAACAAGTAAAAATCTATAACTTTGATGGCACATGTTGGTGGTTTGTAAGCAGAACAGACAAAAATGAATCACTCTAAGCTGATTGGTTGATGAAAGGATATGTCACGTTAAAGAAAAAAAGAAAAACTGTACTAATTGTTGAAGTACTCATAAGTCATCTGAGAGGGTTGTGGTGCTGTTTGGTAAAGACCAAAGACTGCATAAAAAGATGGACTCCGCATCTCCACTTCCTCCCACGGTACAAAAATTAGGCCAAAATATCGCAGATAGGGCCGCTGCCAACTTGCGCTGGTGACATTCTGTTGCACCAGAGTCTAGTAGCGATCTCTGTGGTATTGAATTTCTGCCCATATACCTTACCAATTGCCATTTGGTAAGAAAGGTGCCATTGATCATGACCACACTGGTTGGCACACACAGCTGTCAATCATGACATTAACCCCCTTTTTATTGTATCAAATAACTAATTAAAACCAAATTCATCAGTACAACAAACACTTGAACAAACATCTAAGATGGCAGGTACTACCATCTTAGAGAAAAAAAAAAAAATCTGATGTTTCCTTTGGCCCATGTCCCCTCAGTTTAACCTGGAGGGAGGTGGCGTTCATAACCTTTACTACACTTAGCCACCAGTGGGCGATCAAGTTGTTTTGGCTTCACTTTTAGGGAACTGTCATGTCGTCCATCTTTATTATCAATGCGTTCTGATCCAAACTCATCAAATATCTCCCCTTGGTTGGTGGACTATCACATCTACATATTACATGCTACTGTAGGTATTCTCCTGCGTCTATTGTTAATGTTCTGGGACACCAAGTCACCTTCCCCCTGTTAAATGCATTGTGTCTTTTCAAAACACATTTCTGCTTTTACAGGAAATGTACATTTTTTTACTCATTAGATGCATTGTGTCTTTTAAAATAAACTTAGAACCTCAGTAAAACAACACATTCTCATTCAAACCTCATCACATTGACGTGTGGTCATGGACTTGCCACGTCAATGTATGATGTGCAAGGTACCCAGGGTGTTGGTTGCTGACATTCAAGTTATGCCTGTTACATGCATTGTCTGTTTTCAAAATACACTTCAGTTTTTACATGAAATGTACAGTTTGCAGACAGTTTCTTTCAAAATGAACACACTACGTTGGTGCAACACCGCGGATTGACATTTTTTTCCTTCAACAACAAATGCACATGGTTACGTTTACCCAACACATGCACGTGGCTGGGTTTAGGAAAAATGTACAGGGTTTGGTTTTACATTGATACAGGAAATGAACACCAGCCTCCTAGGTGAAATTTGGTGGTCATTGAACCACCCTTCCCACCTCGTATCATGCTGACATAAAAGGACAGCTTTTTTCGTCAATGTCTGATGCTGCTAGTCACTGCCCAAGTGCTGGTATTCGATGACTTCAGAGTGAGACTGGGTTGACAAAACACTTTGTATTTACGTTCATTTCCTTGTGCAATGAAAGCATATGGTTCATGATTTTAGCTCAACATTCACATGGGAAGGAAACAGCTACCTCCCGGGTGAAAGTCTGGTGTTTGTTGGATCCCCCTGAACTGGTAGTATATTGTACAGCTGCAAAAGGTGCATTTTTGCATCGGTGTCTGACACCAAAATCACTAACAAAGCAGTGGTGTTTGACAACTTGGGAATGAGAATGGGCTGTTATTGTACAATTATTGGTAAAGAGTCACACAGACTGTATGCTGTCATTGTTAAGGATAACAAAGCAAGTCTTACTCAAGTCTCCATTCATATTACATGATTTCCAAAAATATCACAAAAAGTTTACTAATTAGGTTTGTCGCAGAGAGAGAGGCAGAAAAACATATAGACCTAAGCACAAGAGCAGTGTGTTATTACTGTGTTACTAATAGCAGCCATTTCTCACTGAAAATAGTGCCATAGTGCTAGACTGTCTAACTGTGACCATCATGTGCATTATTTTTGATAAAATGTGATTGTGGCTCGTGTTTTCAGTTTTTCACAGACTCTCAGAATGTACAGAATAATTAGAAAATAAAATCAACAAACTAATCCCTGTGAAATTCACTGAGGATTGCTGAGTTGGTCCTCATTCTTATTAAATTAGAGTACCATCCCAAAGGTTTATTATTAAGTTATGTTGGCTCTTTCTGATTAAAATATTTTCCACATATGTCAACCGCTAATGAAGGCCACAACAACAGCATGTTAACAAACCATGCTAACTCTATTCACTTGTGGGAAAATAGCCACAGGAAGATTTAACGGGAGGGTGAAATCTGAAAACATTACAGTAATTCTTACCTTTAAATCCTTATCTTTTGTCCTTTGTAGTCTGTACCCATCATTTCCCACTCGCGCTGGTTACTAAAGAAGGGTGAAGTGCAGCTAATGGCTGGACCTAAGAGCACTAGGACCATGCGGAGTCGTAAGCTCTACCAACCAGTCTACTTGTTCCTTTTTAACAATCTGCTGCTGGTCACTAAGCGCAGCTCTAGGTAAGCATTTTGTATATTGAATATTTGTATATTCTCACTGTGAAATACTTGTGTTTTAACACTCATTCTCCAATTTGATATGTCCATCTAGTCAAAACTAATACAACGGTCCTACACTTAAAAATGAAACTGTTCTTGAGAGGTGTTCAACTGCATGATCATTATGAAGAGTGTAGTTTGTAGTGCTGTGTAACTATTGCTTTATACAAAGAGGTTTTCTGTTATTTAGCTTGCTCTCATTGATATGAGTCGAATAAACTTTCAGTATGACACAATACAATTCAACAGCACCACAAATTGAGTGTATGTTTACATATGAAAGTCGATTGTTGCACTGACTCAGCAAATGTTAATTGCATCATGTTGTCAGTGGGGACAAGTTCCAGGTTCTTGACTCATGCACACGCGCCATGTTGAGGACTGAAGATCTTGAAGACCAGGGCCAGCTTCTGGCCAATGTCTTTAATCTTAAGCTGCTGGAAAACCAGGAGGAGCGTCCAGTCAGCTACATGCTCAAGACCTCCAGTATGTAAGTATCTGACACAGAATTAACTCGGTCTCCACTGAGCAGCAGTGAGTGACGTGGGTGAGGATAATGAGAGAAAATGAAGAGAATGAGAATGAAAAGATGGACCTCAGTCCACTTCTAAGCAAACACAGGATTGGTTTGTTTGTGAAAGCAAGCAGACTAACTGCAGTATTTTGTGATATATATGTAGATAAATGATGTTAGCATGAAGCTTAACTATGATTGAATTCATCTGCAGATTGTAAACTGTTCAGAAAGTGATCTTATAATAAGCAATCTGTATAAGTCATGTATAAAAGGGGCAGCAGTAGCTCAGTCCATAGGGACTTGGGTTGGGAACCAGAGGGTCGCCTGTTCGAGTCCCCATCTGGACCAAATATGGAGCGTGGACTGGTGGCTGGAGAGGTGCCAGTCCAGTTCCTGGGCACTGTCCCCAACCGCTCAGGGCACCTCACCAAGGGCAGCCCCCTCACTCTGACATCTCTCCATTTTGTGCATGTATAGGTCCTGTTTGTGTGTCTTTCGGACCTGTGTGTTAATGACAACAGAGTGAAAAAATTGAATTTCCCCTCAGGGGGATTAATAAAGTATATTAAAAAATAAATAAAAAAATAAGGGTTATACATAAAAGTGTACTTAAAGGTGAAGTGTGTAAGAGTTAGGGGGATTGAGTGGTGTCTCATGGCAGATTGCAACCAGCTCAAACTTCATCAGATTAGGATTCCTTTAGTCCTCATTCTTCAGGTGGAGGCAAATTATCCATAGAGGTCTCTTCGTCTCCAGAACAAATGGACCAGGTCACTAAAACCACTAAAAATACTGAATAAAGCAGTTTCACGTTGCAAATTGTTGTATCTCCGATGCTGTTAGGTATGCCAATGTGGGCAGCTCGTCCACCACTTGTTAATGTGTGCTCATCTTTTTTTCTGTGACACTTAAAGATCCAGACATTTAAGAGGTTTTTACAAGGAGCCAAATTATCCACAGAAGTCACTTCCTCTCCAAAACAACTGGTCCAGTTGTCTAAAACCGCTAAAAACACTAGATAAAGCAGTTTCACGTCACAAATCAGTATATCTCCGATGCTGTTTGGCAGGAGCTGGAGCTGTTGGCAGGAGCACACAATAGTATGAGATGGACGGCTCACCCATCTCATACTGTTGTGTGCTCCTGCTTTTTCTTTGATAACTTAATGTGTGCTTACCCTTTTCTGATCCTTACATTACTAAGATTTTTACCGGGGGCCAAATTATCCGCAGAGGTCTCTTCCCTTCCAAAACAAACAGACCCGGTAATTTAAACTGGTATAAACACTAAATAACGCAGTTTCACTTTACAAATTACTGTATCTCTAATGCTGTTTAGCATATCAGTATGAGCGGCTTGTCTGACACAAGCTAATGTGTGCTCATCTTTCTTCTCTGATTATTTAAGAGCTAGATGTTCAGGTTTTCAACAGGAGCAGAGGTCTCTTTCTCTTCAAAACAAACAGACCAGGTGGTTTAAATGGGTAAAAACACTGAATTAAGTAGTTTCACATTACAAAACAGTGAAGCTCTGATGCTACTTGTTGCAGACGGGCGTCTAACTACAGTGTCCGATGCAAACTTGAGCCAGTGTTCGGTTTTGTCCGTTCTGGGCGACTGTAGAAACATGACGGTGCAAGATGGCGAAACATGAATCCATCCCCTCTGTTGATAGAACAATTCTTGTTTTCAGGTGATTATAAACTAAAGAAAACACACATTTTATATTATATTATATTATATTATATTATATTTTTAAAGGTCCAGTTTTTAGGATTTTGGTGGCTATATGGGTAAAAATGGAATATAATATTCATAATATGTTTTCATTAGTGTAAAATCACCTGAAAATAAGAATTGTTGTGTTTTGCTTACCTTGGAATGAGCGATTTATATGTACATGTGGAACCATGTTCTTTCTACAGTAGCCCAGAATGGAAAAACCAAACACTGGCACTAGACAGGGCCATTAATGTTTTTTGTGTTTTCGTGTTGGCCAATTTAGTTCTCCTTCAAGCTTGGCACATGCATTTCAGTTGGTTGCAATCTGCAAACTCACCACTAGATGCCACTAAATTCAACACATTGGACCTTAAAAATGTGCTCAGACTACAGGATTTTTAAACTGATTCATCCCTCCTGACAATCTTAGGGGAAATCCTGGTAACTGGTAATCTGTGACCATGATGTTTTTAATAGTTTTTGGACACCAGTGGAGCTTTATAAAATAAGGAGACATCGAGCTTTGGATACGAAGTGAAAAAAAAAACCTGTTAATAAGGTCAAGGTCACTTCATTATTGGGTTTTGTTGACAAAAGAAAAATATAGAAAGTGTTAAATTGTGGATTTGTATTCAACCTGTCGGTCTAAATTGTTGGCCCTGTCATAAAATAATGAACATTCCAAACAGTAACTCAGTTTATGAAAAATGTATTTACCTTTAAGTGGTCACTTATTGATGGCATCATGTGTACAGGAGTGATAAGCTTCGATGGATGTGTGCTCTCACTCCTAACCGGCGCACACGCTTTATGTCTACTAGTGCCCACCAACCAGGTGAGACAGAATACCACACCAACATTGTGCACTGTCCTTAACATGCAGACATGGAGATACAAACTCAACCTATCTGTGGTATTTATCAGACTCTCCACAGGTCCAGTGTATCCAGTCATACTCTTCTCAGGAGCCAGATGAACTCTCCATTGAGATGGCTGATGTTTTGAACCTCCTTGAGAGAACAGACGATGGTGTGTGGAGGCACAAATCTGCTTTTATATCCCCTTTAAGGCTGTTGCTTGTAAAAAAAATGTTCTAAATGAAATATTTCGTCTTATGCATTGTTTTCTCTTTCCATCTTCATGTCACCTCTGGTCTTTCTGTCTTCTGTATTCCAGGCTGGATGATGGGTGAAAGACTCCATGATGGTGAAAGGGGCTGGTTCCCTAGTCGAGTAGTAGAGGAAATCCAGAGCAAGGAGGTCCGAGCTCAGAACCTGAGAGAGGCCTTTAGGATCCAGCAAGCCCAGGAAGGTGGTGGAGGCCCGCAACCTGGAGCCAGGATTGGTGTAAGGGTGGGGAGGCGCACCCCAAGGGCCTCCAATTTCTCCAATCCTTGAATTGTTCAAATGGAGGAGAGCAGTGAAGTAAAGCAGTGAAGCAGTAACAGTGATGAATATCACCCTTCAGGGCCATATGCACTAAAAGACATAATCAGGATACATGTGACTTAAATTCCATACAATAACATCTTGTCCTTTTGATTTTCACTTAGCAGTTGGTGGTTTTAGAAATCCACATTTTTGGACCCAGTGATCTGGGACAAAACGCTTGAGTCAATAACCTTGTACAAGCGATGCTGCATGTCTCATATAAAGGTGTGCTGAGGGTGTTTTGCAGGCCCACACACTGTCGCATGTAATGCATGGAGCAAAACTCTGGGCTTGATTAGGAACTGTGTGTGGGGATGGCAAGAAACCTAAAAGGTCTTGTAAAGGTACTGTAAACATCTGTCAGCTGCATGGGCAAGTTTTAAAAATTTTAATGTTCATTTCATTGTAAAATACCTTTCAACACTGATTATAGCCTACACCCACAACACAAACTGTCAAGTGTACAGTGGCCCCAAGAGCTCAATGTACTGCAATATCAAGAGATGGTTTTCCAGCAGCAGCGGTAAAACAGGCTGCAGAGTAATGCCTATGGGCAATTATGCTCCATCAGTTTATGTCCATTGAAAGTGTTCTTTTCCACCACACGCAACGTAGCACCAGAAGAACAAATGAATGCCTTTTCACTCTGCTGATGAAAATGAGTATATCTCAAAAACTAAATAATGTACATAAATCAAATAACTTAGGGAGTTTTAAGGAATATTTTGTTTATGCTTCTCCATTCAAAAATCTTTTGTGTTTTTATTATGTAAAATCTGATTGAAAAACATGTTTAAAAACATGTCCAATCTTTTTAATTTATTTTTTTAAAGGTTTGATTTCTCTTTAGGGTCCTCTCCATAATGTTGTCAGACCCTTACATTAAGAATCTGAGCCCATCAGTAGCAAAAACAAGCAATTTTAATGGATATAAATTGACGGTGCACATTTGTGTGCAGGGATTATATTGCAGCCTGTTTTGCGGCTGTTGCTGCAGCGATCTGGACTAATTTAAAAAATTGTTGTCTTCATTAGTCACTTTCCTAGTCCACGTTCAAAAAATAATGAATTTTGCAAAACAACAAAAACACAACAAAATACATGCAGTCCATTGCGCTTTCAGGACCATCATACAAGTGTCTAATAAAATAGTATTGTGTGAAAATTAGCGATGATTATTTAAGAATTCTGTGTCTATGAATATTCCAATAAGTGAGTCAACTGAAGTGATACTCCACCCAGAATCTTTTGAGTATGAAACACTGACAACAGCCAGACTTGATTGCAGGCTGTAAAAGGTTGCTTCATCATAGAGAACAATGACAGTAGTCAGCTTTGCTTCCTAGTGGTTACAACAATGGATTCCGACGGTGACAAGTTTTTACAGCGGCCACAAAACTATTCGGAAGAAATCAGTGGGATCAGCTACTAATGACGGGACCCATAAACATAAACACCACCACAGTGTATTATTTATTAAATTTTGTATACAACTATCAAAAATAGTATAAGACAGCTAGCAGAGACCAAAAATCACGCAACATACATTACTGCACAACAGGTTAGCAGGGTGGCTGATCAAAACACACACTCTACCAAAACAAACCTGTAGCTGACTTACCTACTCTTACTTTAACAGCGTCTGATGGACTTCGGTGTTTCCATACTGACGGAATACGTAGTCCATTCAGTCTCTCCTCTGCCATGGTGCAAGTAGTTTTTAATTTGTTTTAACTTTAAAAAGGATCTCTCTGCCCCTGCAACGTCCAGTAAAGTCATTTACAATAGTAGGGTAGTAGTCTCACTCACCCGACCTTTCTCAAGAAAAGAAAGGTCTGGCTGGGCCGACTCTCACTTTGAGATTGGAGAAAAAAATGCCCCGGCTGCTTGTACTTCTTTCAACCAGTCACAATCGTTCTGGGCGGTGCCACAGCAACGGTGTGCTTGCAAAAATATTGCCGGGGTGAAACAGGTTTTGGTGTAACACGCCCACAAAAATATCGCCTACAGGACGCGAACCATGGCAGAAAAATGGCTACATCCCCGCAAGATCAAACACCGCAAAAGTTAGTAAAGGATGTGTTGAAGGTTGAAAACTGCTACACAACCGGAGGTGGTAGGGCGGGACTTCAGTGGGTGGCTCATTCCGCCCAATGAGAGGCTGATCTCTGCAGCAAACTTCCAGCCACTCAGACTAGTAGGGTAGTAATAATGTCACTGACCGTAGATGTGACTGAATGATGATACACAAGAAGAGTCTTTACAGGTTTGGAGACCCAGCGCCACCATGAGCATTGCACATGAACCATCAAGTTGTAACAAGGTAACTAGCACACAGTTCTCCTAATTGTCTACTTGCCATGAATCCAAGCTGACCGCAGTCTGTTTTCTGTCAAAAAACAACCTACACACCAACAGTCATCTTCTAAGTGTACAGTGTTTAATGCAGCTCACAAGATACATTTGTGTTGAATATCACTCCAAGATTGTCAATATATCAGGAGTACACACACACACACACACACACACACACACACACACACACAAACAAGGGATGAATCCTGTAAAAGCAATTTAATGCCAAATAACTGCAATATGTTGTAAATGTATAGAATGTATCAGCACTATGAGCAACTATGGATCAGCATGATTGTAAATTCTGTGTGTCTTTAAATGCAGTATATGTACAGTAATGCAAACATTTGATGTTCAAGCTAATAATTACTGAATAATTGTTATTTCATTTTGTAAGATGTAAATTATTGTTCATAAAAAAGCATTAATCAGAGATGTGCTGCTGATGTTAATTTACTGGTTATTTTATTTTATTTTTATTTTTGTTATTTTCTTTGACACCAATGTAAGCAAGGAGTTTCACAAGGAGGTTTATGGTAATCACCACCTCCCACTGCAATATTTACATTCCCAGTCTGTATCAGACTGGACACTGTACATAGGCATTCTGTATGGGCCCCTCCCCGAGTCCATGGCTATAAATTCTACTATCTTTGCGGGCCTGTATATTTTTATTGTTGGTGACTGTTATTTCTGCAGTTTGTGTGTCACTTTTTTACTAAGCTATACAGTACAGTTACCAGATGGCCCATGTGTTGTGTTTACTGCCACTGAAGAGGAATAAATCCTCTTCATGTACGACATAGTTTTTATCAGGTTTGTTAAGGAAAACACAACCAGCAGCTATGTGTGATGGGCAGAAACTAGGGCTACAGTCAGCTAGGGTTCTGCTTTGTTATACATGCAGGTGTTACAACAGTCAGGGAAGTCAATATAGGCCTACATATAAGCAGAGGTGCCCCAACTAATTTTTCACATGGTTGCCACATGGGGCCACTTATATTTTTTGGGGTGGCACACCAAAACCAAAAGCCATTACAGGGATTCTATTACGAAGTACCTGTACCGATGATGATTGTAAGGAACAAAACATTAACTGGAAACAAGCCTTCTATCACCAAGTTCTAAATGGAGTGTCAGACTGTCGCGCAGCATCACATTACATTGGACGCTCTCTGTCCACACTGGATCTGTTAAATATAGAACTCTGTCACATTATGTAAATCACTTACCTAGCAGGTGTGCGCTCAGAGTAACCACTGAAAAGATGAATGAGTACTACTTCCTTATTATTCATATTCACAACGATACAACTGCAGCCACCTTTTAGATATTGTGGTAGGTACCATACTATATCACTAGAGCACTAAGAGAGCGCAGACCTCCGCCAAGCAGCTCGGATTTTCCGCCATTTTATTATTTTATCCACTTCGCTTCAACTGATCACCACCAAAATTTTCCTTCTTCCATTATCAACCTTTCCTGAAAATTTCATCAAAATCCGTTTAGAACTTTTTGAGTTATTTTGCAGACAAACAGACCAACGCCGGCAAAAACATAACCTCCTTGGCAGAGGTAATAATACTGTCTCCACTTTAGAAAATAAGCTGGCTTGCTAGCATCCCACACAATTCTTAACAGAAAAGTTCATCTTCCTGGCGAACTCCCTGCAGCCAGATGCCAACTTATGTAGGTTTTTGTCATGAAATAAGAAGGTATCCTCAAGGTAATTCCTCATTTAAACCTCGTGAATCAGCCGTTCCTTGTCCACTGCAGCTCTTGTCCACTGCATTGCTTCCAACACAAGCAACAGAATAAAAATAGAAATGGGGCGTCTGACAAAATTTCAGCTCCAAACAGTCCACTGCATCACACTGCGTCACATTGTGTTGCTCATGCGTTAAGACAGTCCAATAGAATACAATGTAATCAATTGATTTATTCACTGTCAAATAAACGGTAGATTGATTACACAGGAAGTTTAGGGTAAGGAGGTGATGGGGTGGTTGACTGGCACCAATAAAAAGGGCAGCAAGTTTTTTTTATTCAATTTAAAAAAAAAAAAGGCAGTGCCGTGCACCTTGCATTTGGAACCTGCAAATCGCGAGGCGTGTGAACGATTTTGCCATCAGGGCCAGTGGGGGGTGACTGTGCCTATGACTGATGGAGGTCAAGAGAATTTAGCTGAACCAAATTTAGAAAAAATAGTACATAAAGGTAATGCATGTTGCAAATGTGGTGATGTTAAAAAAAAGCTACAGGAGGCACTTAAAGCTATAATAAATCACACACTGGGCCTATTTTTGAGCACAAGTGCAATGATGAGCACAAATTTCTGAGTATCCTATCTTATCCTAAGTGCAAAAGGACTGTGTGAGGCAGAATATACAATAGCTCAGAAAGTTTTCAGAGTATTTCACTTTTCATGTATTTCATGGTTTTATACAGTTTATTTTAAATTGATTAGAATATGTTTTTGGCAGGCAATGCTATACACAATAATCAAAAATCAGTGCATAATAAGTATTCAAAGTCTTGGTGACATTCGGAAATTGAACTCAGGTGCATCTTGTTTACTCTGATTATCCTTGAAGCATCTGGAGTCCAACTGTGGCAAATTCATCTGACTAGACATGATCAAGAGGGGCATAGACCTGTGTTTATAAGGTCCTATAATTCAAGACTGCCCTCCTGTAGAACATGATCACACAGGTTATTTGTACACACAGCAATTACACAAATACACAAACCCATATTTACATTTATTGGTAGGTGGCAACCTCGAGTGGCTGTAATAATTGTGACGGGAGCAAAGGAAAGATCAGGTGACATAAAAAACAGCACCAAAGTCCCCATAGGGTGGGAGGAAGGGAAGGTGAATGGGTCAAACAAACACAGGACTTTTATCCAGGAGACCACTGTTCATGTGCCGTGTGAAACCAAAAGCCAAGAGTGGGTAATGTTTTTTATTTTTTTTTGGGGGCAATATACTGGCAGAAACTGAATATAATATGTATAACTATATTATATAGCATGAACCATTTATATCTACATACAGAGTGGATCCTCCTGCACAGAGTCTGCCTTGTTTCTACAGTAGCTCTAGATAGGGCCTTTCCCGTTTTTGTGTGGGCTAGCATAGCTCTCCCACACACTGTCAGTTGGTTGCAATCTGAACTCTCAGTGCTAGATGCCACTAAATATCTGTCATTACTAAAAATGTAATTTTTTTTATGTATCAAAGACTTAGAATAATGACATCACCTGCTCCTAACTAGCACAACTAACTAGACTGAACAAAATTTTAAATGCAACACCTCTATTTTTGCTCCCATTTTTCACAGACATGTGATCTAAGACTTTTTATGCACTCAACAGACGTGTTTCTCTCAATTATTGTTCAAAGATTTGTTAAAATACGTGTCAGTGAGCACTTCTCCTTTTCCAAGATAATCCATCCACCTGATATGAAGATGCTGATTAAACAGCATCATTACTACACAGGTGTGTAGTAATGATGCTGATTAAACAGCATCATTACTACACAGGTGTGTCTTTGGATGGTCATAATAAATGGCCACTCTAAAATGTGCATTCTGATCACACAATACAATGACATAGATGTCACAAGTTTTGAGGGAGTGTTTCATTGGCATGCTGAATGCAAGAATGTCCACCATGTCTGTGAACTCAATGTTCATTTCACTACCATAAGCCATCTCAAATGTTGTTTCCATTAATTTGGCAGTACATCCAACTGGCCTCACAACTGAAGAGCACATATAACCACCCCAGCTCAGGACCTCCACATGT